TGGTACCTACCCGCGCGGACTCACAACAGGTCCTACCACCAATAAAACTTGTCACACTATACCGGTACAGTCGTTCTTGTTAGGTTCATGTGAACTTCTAAAATAAAATTCTCAATATGAATAATTAATTCGTAGTAATGCGAGTATGCTAACTATTAGTAATGAAGGTTTATATAATAATATTCACGTATCGGCGTTTGTCAAGTCAAACAAAACTAAATGACAAAATAGCCACATCATTAAAAAGTTTAACGAGAAATCGATTCTGGAGCATTTAGTGTGACAAGTACTAATGACGGACTCGCGTTCTATCTCAGTAACAAATTGAGTTCGTTGTAAGTATCGCAAATCGGATTCCCGGAAAACTATATAGGTCACCGTTCGCTGTTGACGGACGGACTCAATTTAACTTGTACAATTGTTTTCTTTTATTTCCTCACTAAAATTGAATGGTTCATGCGAAAAGGAACCAGCTTACGACGAAATTACTGTAAAAGAACCGATGCAGAATAATGAAATTTAGTTTTGAATAAATATTTTATGTTTATTTAGTTAGTGGATGAGACTGACCAATTGTAGTGAGCAGACAACGCATCGGTGTTAATCGACACCTTAAAGCAAAACCTGAATTTCTTGCCGGATCTTTTCAATGGGATTCCGATCCGGTGGTAGATTTGGCAAAGCACTGCTCTTGCTAGGGCAGATGTTAGCTAATTATTTCAGGTTGAGCCCCGTGAGTTCACCCACCAGTCATAGTAAAGCCAGAATAGCCTCTCGTGGCTAGTGACCGATAGACAAAATAAACCTTTAAGCATAATGCCCGTCAGCCAGTCACTAATCTAAGCCCAATTTTCTTACCATTTCTTTATTTTAAGTCAAGATTGCAATCGATATCTTGGTTCATCTGCAAAGCTAACGAGCTAACACAAAAATAATTATCTATTTCCTCCCTGAACAATAACACTAGAGCTGATAATTATGTGCACACTATATTTTGGAAGTATACCCGTAGTATCAACTATTTAGGATCGAGGAACAACATCATATCATAAAAAGGATACGTCAGCCTGCCATTTATATAATCATTTATATAATGAAAATTTGCGTAATTACTGGTGTTAGGACCTCTTATGAGTCCGCACGGTTAGGTACCATCACCCTACCAATTTCTGCCGTGAAGCAGTAATGCGTTTCCGTTTGAAGGGTGGGGCAGCCGTCGTAACTATACTGAGACCTTAGAACTTATATCTCAACGTGGGTGGCGCATTTACGTTGTAGATGTCTATGGGCCCCGGTAACCACTTAACACCAGGTGGGCTATGAGCTCGTCCACCATCTATGCAATAAAATATCCATATAATCATTTTAACAAACAATTTACTACTCAGTTTTATGGAATTTTATACCGTCACAACTTTTCATAATGATCGATTCTTCTGCGTACTAAACTTAACGGAAGTCAATCACAGTTTCCTAAACAAATTAAATCTCGTTTATTTTCGTTAGACAAGGTTGTGGCCCTGATCTATATATTTATAAGATGAATTACAGTCTCCTCAAACACACCTTACCTTGGTTTGAAAACGTAATCTTTTAAAATGCTGAGAATTCAACTACTTGCCTAAAATAACTTTACTGTCACCTTGCGTTCCATATGGAATATAATACTATGTTATGTAGTCTAAAATGATCTATGGTGAAGAGTACCGGATAACTGGACTGACTGACTGACTGAGTATTGATAAACAAGCTTTGATTATCACCACCCAATCTTGTCCCAGAAGCATCGTAAAAGGCGACTAAGGAAGTCACTGGAGAAGGGGTAACAGCGTTTTCTGACTTTTACTAGCGTACGGAAATCATCAACTAACATTTATAGAATAACATCAGGAATCCAGAAATAGAAATCTGATAGAAACCTTCTAACGCCATTTTCACGATACGTTTGTACAAATTGTATATAAGTTCCGAAAAACACATACGGATAGTCTTAATCCATCAATAGGTATATGAAGTCAGTGTCTGAACATTACTTCGCAACAGCGATGCGATTTGATAACCCCCTTATCGATGTCGTCGTTATCTATACCCCGCTGACCTGGCGCTGGCGACAACCAGCCATTGTCGACGCTCTTGTCACTTTCTGATAATTCCATCTGGTCCACTCTCAACGCCGTTGAACAATTCTAGTTCTGACACTAGCAGCAGTCGAAGACGTCGCAACCTCACTACATTATCATATCGCTCCGGCCCACGGCAGTCCATGAATGGATCTTGAGAATTATACCCTCGGGCCTATGAAGTAGAAATACTTATGGCGTGGACTACATGTCATTTCGGATCCTCCCGAACCACTAATGCTGCTTTTAGGTACCTCAAGCACCGGTCATCGTTGCTTGCTCAAGCAGGCTCGACGAGTAAATTAATCCACAGACACAGCCCACTGAGTTTCTCGCCGGATCTTCTCAGTGGGTCGCGTTTCCGATCCGGTAGTAGATTCTGCGAAGCACGGCTCTTGCTAGGGTTCGTGTTAGCAACGTCGTCAGCTTTGAGCCCCGTGAGCTCACCTACAAGCTCGGTGAATCTAGAATAACCCCATGAGGTTAATAAAGAGAAAAAACAAAAACAAAAAAAGGCGTGGACTATTCACAGCACTGACACAGCATTCAAGTTCAATTTTGAATCATAGCAAGCCTCGAGCAGCAGTGGCACTTGCAAGTTATTCCCGACATGGATACTACTATACTTACTGGCAAGACCTCCGGTCTCGTAGGCTACTATGTAGTCGTAGAATCCGACAAAAACCCTAAATTACGCTAATGACAGTTTCAAGAATCCATTCTACTATAATATAATATAATACAATCCGAACGGCCGAATGGGATTATCGACAATCCGAACGGCCCTCCTCATACAGAGGATTGTCGATAATCCCATTCTCACGGAACGTTTGGAACCTCTGGGTCTGCGGAGGGACTTCGGTTCCCTCTGTATTTTGTACCGAATGTTCCATGGGGAGTGCTCTGAGGAATTGTTCGAGATGATACCGGCATCTCGTTTTTACCATCGCACCGCCCGCCACCGGAGTAGAGTTCATCCATACTACCTGGAGCCACTGCGGTCATCCACAGTGCGTTTCCAGAGGACTTTTTTACCACGTACCATCCGGCTATGGAATGAGCTCCCCTCCACGGTGTTTCCCGAGGGCTATGACATGTCCTTCTTCAAACGAGGCTTGTGGAGAGTATTAAGCGGTAGGCAGCGGCTTGGCTCTACCCCTGGCATTGCTGAAGTCCATGGGCGACGGTAACCACTCACCATCAGGTGGGCCATATGCTCGTCTGCCTACAAGAAAAAAGAAAAAAAAACTTTGCCACTTAAAAATCATACGAGTGCGATGTTTTCTATCACTAACAAAGCTCGAGATGGAGAATTGTATTTTAAAACAGATTTCCGGTACCATTCTTCGGTTCAGAAAGAATGACTATCTTGTAACAGAAATAGGGAAGATGGATCAGTACGTATCCAATCCCATCGGTTAATAGAATTCTTTTGTCATTTCATATTGTACCATTGTGTTAATTTATAAATAAACTAATCATCCAATCATCATCCAACATTCAATCATTATCTTTATAGTTTTGTTATTTTAACATTTCGAAACAAAAACTATTTTATAAAATACTATATATCCAAATATTGATAAACTAAAGCTCATGAATGTCTAAAAGAAGTCAAAAATCGGTTGGCAACAGAAGAAAAAATCGTATTTTAGTGTTTTGTCTTTGGCAATTTATAAAGATTTAGATAAAAAAATGCCAATATGTCATATATGTATATTCTCTTAAGACATATCTGTAATATAATAGTAGCAAGCATTTCAGATGGCGACATTTTCTCTGTAGATATTAATTGCTAGTATTTTAGCAGGAAAATGACCATACATTATTATACTAAAATCTAGTTTGAATTCCACGTTGAACTATGAAAACAAAATAAATAAATGAGGAATTGATGAACAGTTCCCGATGACTATAATAATATTACGTAGGTATGTGTGTGTGTAATTACGTACTATCCTGTAAACTGGTTTTCATAGTATATATCATCGTAGCAAAGTTCACGATAGTTCAAAGTCAAATAAATACAGAAAATTTTAATAAACATTAAATTTTCTTATTTAAGGTTCGTCATAATTAATAACAAAATAGTCGGTTTCATACAGCAGTCCAACTAACTGTCTATAAGCGACTCTGTATTTAATTAATACAATGTCATATTTCACAATAAAAAACGACAGATCTTACCTGCGTCATAAACTAGTTACAGATTGTGCACGATACATTGGTAATATAACTCATGAATATTATTTCTTTGTGACGGGTTTGAATGTAAAACTAGACTCTTAGGCGCTTTGTCCCAGACCGGTTGTCCTATAAAATAGCTTGAAGTAATAGNCGACTCTGTATTTAATTAATACAATGTCATATTTCACAATAAAAAACGACAGATCTTACCTGCGTCATAAACTAGTTACAGATTGTGCACGATACATTGGTAATATAACTCATGAATATTATTTCTTTGTGACGGGTTTGAATGTAAAACTAGACTCTTAGGCGCTTTGTCCCAGACCGGTTGTCCTATAAAATAGCTTGAAGTAATAGATAACAGGGTCAGAACCCGGCCATCAGCAAGAAATGTGACGCACGAGATCACGTACCGAAAAAGTGATGATCAATAATTGTAAACAAAACAATCGTTATTAATCGAATAAATGTGTTCATATCAACGCCCTTGCACGGTTCATTCGGTTTCGTAGTAAACAAGCCTTAAACTATGAGAAACCCAACGATGCCATTTATCTATTTTATATTTTGAGCACGTGTTTTATACGTATCAATTCAATGAAATAACATCGAGTTATCGTAATAGAGATGGGCTATTACTAAAAATGTTTTCACCAGAATATTCTTAGTAAGCAAATGTTGTTATTACAGACGAATCCTACATGAAGCTGGCTTTGGAAACCGTTGAGGAACTCGACTGGTGCCTGGACCAATTGGAGACGATACAGACACATCGATCGGTCTCCGACATGGCTTCGCTTAAGGTGAGTGCTAACGCTTTACAATAAAATGAATAAATTTGCATCAACTTAACTAAAATAGTTATTTAGATAGATCTAGACAGGTCAATATCGCTTTCCCACAAATATATATATTAGACGTGTGATTATAGACTACTGAAAATTTCAAACAAGCTTCTAATCTTATTAATAAACGTATGAGAGATATACTCTTACTTAAACTGCTTATTTTTTGATTCTTTTTCTTTGACTTTTTAATCCAATGTGAATAAGAAACCATTCAGATATTAATATAAAAACTACAAACAAATACATACATTCTCGACGTCATCTGGTCTCAAGAGCTATCGCCTGATCTCGACGATGTCGTTCAAACGTCCTCATAATGACGTTATAACTAACGGTGACTTTAATTCTCTTTTGTAGATGACTCTCTAGGTAATAAAGTCAATGAATGAATCTTACAGTAAAACTGATAACAATTTGACGTTATCAATTTTTTACTGTGAGATTCATATTTTTGGGTCTAATTTTACATTCTGATTACGTATTTTCCATGAGGAACACGTATTATAACTGTTGCTGAAACTCAATCAGAAAGTTTCCATGAAATATCCCATTTTAGTTCAATCAAAATTATGTTCAGGAGCAACTTTTTGTATACGTATAACGTTTTTTTAAAAAGAATTTCGATTTGGAGTTTTATTAGCTTCATTCTTCATTCAAATTCAGGAAGTATATTTGCGGAGATAAAATTTACATATTATGTATGATTAGCGAACGATACACGTGAGCCAAGGCACGCATCCAACGGATCCACGCTACAGAATCCCCCAGTGATACACTAAAGATGACACATCGTATCACACTTCTGCAATAATGATAAAGTTGATGGATTTGTGTTCTGTCTATGTACGTATATGGAATGTATAGTTTAGTCTGAATAATGATACATTAATTGTTTCCTGACGTTGAAATATAACTATTTGACGATCGGTTAAATTTTGATAAAATTAACCAAAAAACATATATTACGAATTTTACTAAGTTGCTCAAAATGTTTCTAAGTTTATCCGGTAATGTTACCGAAGTAATCTACTCCCTGTCAGTAGCTAACCTACATCTTGCGCTATTTCCAAGAAACAATCTCTTTGGGCTGCCGCAAAAGGTGATTTAACATTATAAAGGTCTGGGCCTTTCCCTAACGCGTTGATTCCCCCTTTATAGTTTAATTTGCAATATAGAGAAAGGGTTTCATGTTTTACCTTTTCTGTTTTTTAACATTGTTCTCTTACAACATTATCAGTAAGTTATTAAACTTGTAATCAGAAAATAATAATTAATTATCATTACGAAAGGATACCACAATACGATTAATACGATAAACTATTAAAGTAAACAATGTTTTTTTTTTAAAACAAGAATTATATTACCACTGATTTAATTTAATTTACGATTTATGTTTCGATATTTTTATCTAAACTAATAAACTCCCGTATCAAATACCATACATATATCGATTCTGATATTATCGTTAAATGCTCTTTGAATCGCAAGAGTTTAATGATATCCCTGAAGCAGCTGTCTAATCTCTCTACTTGTTTCTTAATGATATGTTAATTCGCTTTGAAAATGTTTTCAAATAATTTTACTAAAAGTAATAATAGTCTTATTAAATATAGATACCAATTTAATGACGATGAACAGAATAAGAAGGAACGTTTATTTCGAACTGTATTTGAATTAAGAGTTATTTTTCTTTTATTTCGACAAAGCTACTCTTATTACAATGTACCTAGATGTTCCTACTTATTATGATCGTAGGTAAAAAAATGTAAAATTTTTTTTTTTATTGCTTAGATGTGTGGACGAGCTCACCTGGTGCTAAGTGGTTACTGGAGCCCATAGACGTACAACGTAAACGCGCCACCCACCTCGAGATATAAGTTCTAAGGTCTCAGTATAGTTACAACGGCTACCCCACCCTTCGAACCGAAACGCATTACTGCTTCACGGCAGAAATAGCCGGGGTGGTGGTACCTACCCGTGCGGACTCCCAAGAGGTCCTACCACCAGTGATTACGCAAATTATGATTTTGTGGGTTTGATTTTTATTACACGATGTTATTCCTTCACCGTGGAAGTCAATCGTGAACATTTGTTGAGTACGTATTTCATTAGAAAAATTGGTATCCGCCTGCGGGATTCGAACACCGGTGCATCGCTACACACGAATGCACCGGACGTGTTATCCTTTAGGCAAAGACGACATTCTCGTATAGAGTGATGTCGCTTTTCATAATCGACACGCTGGTACCATTATTTCCACGTGTTCACGAATAGCTTCCACATTGAAGGAATGACGTCGTGTAATTACAATGAAAACCGCAAAATGTATGCGTAATTACTAGGTAGTAAGACGTATTGTGAGTTAGCCATATCCTTTATGCACAATCATCCTCAAAGCGGGGGCAGAGGTTGGGGGGGGTGATGATACAATTGAGACTTCGTATTTTAGGCCACATTCACGTTTCTATATCTATCGGCGCCGATAACTACTTCACACCAGATGACATGAGAACCACTTTACATCAGACCATGACGCCGAAGTTGGTTTAATTCGTCCAACAGTTTCGCGTCATATAGTTCGTCTTTCACGTTTCAGTATAAAAAAGCATTTTCAGCTTCAAGTTTTAAAGTTATTAGCAACGACACACATTTGTGTTTGCTTGTTTAAGATCGGGTCACACATACCTACCCGATCCTGTGGACCGAATGGTAAACAGTCGACGTCGCACTAAACACGTCATTACGGATCCACCTGATCCATTAACGGTGCTTTTAGGTACCTCAAGCACCGGTCACCGTCCTCGCCGAACCCATCGCTTGCGAAGAAGGGCTCGACGAGTAAATTAACTCATAGACACAGCCCACTGAATTTCCCGCCGGGTCTTCTCAGTGGGTCACGTTTCCGATCCGGTGGTAGATTCTGCGAAGCACTGCCCTTACTAGGGCCAGTGTTAGCAACACTCCCGGTTTGAGCCCCGTGAGCTCACCTACACGTCAAGGAGAAGCTGAAATAGCCTCTCAAGGCTATCAGCATAGGTAGGAAGAACAAAAAAATCGGGTCACAGAATGCGTATGTGACTGCCGACGTCTAACCGTGAAGGGCAGACCCTCGACTCTGACGCAAGTTGTTCTATTCTGTTTATCTCCGAAAACAGAATTGTATACAACCTGATAAAACAGATTACGAGACGTCGACAACGTTCAATTAAAAACAACGTAATATATTTTCAGTCTGTCTTAAATTTATTATTATACACAACAATTTTGTTGCATAACCATCGAAAAGGCGGTTTAATATAATAGCTTAATCCTAGTGCTGTAAAACTATCTTATTTTTGCATGTAACGAGAACACGTAGGTAATCCATTATAATTACTAGTTTAACGATATTTTTTTAAACTCAAAAAAACATACGCTGAACACGTATTAACTAATACAATATTAAATTACAAATGCTAAATGTGTTAAAAATAGCGATAATCAATAAGGAAGTTTTTTTATAAGTGGCCAGTGATATTTTAGCGATATTTTTTATTTACTCTGTGTACGGGTGAAGGTACCGGGCCAGTGCTCTACCCGTACGCCGCCTTGGTCACGTAGGCAGAGGGGACTTCGGCTTCGCCCGCCTTACGGGATATCTTGATCTTCGAAATAATCCTTTGTTCAATCTAAACTGAATCATCTTAAACTGGCTCGTCCTGTCTCTAATGTTTCGTTTGAAATAAACAACACATGATTATTATTTCTGACATTATACTTCTATAATATGAAAATTATTTAAAACGAATTAATTGAACAAAGAGTAAAAAAAGTTTCGAGAATACATGCTACTTACGTCAAATTTAAATATAGTAGGTACTCAATCTTCAATTAGAGCTATTTATATTTAAATATATACAGGTAAAATTAAATTTCAGAAAATTAGTAATTGTAATTGTTTTTTTCTATGAAACCGTTATCGTGCGTTCTCATCTCAAAACCAGATTTATATAAATAATATTTTTAATATATATAATAATAATTTTATAGATACATAATAATCTTAGTTTACATTTAAATTAACTTAACATATTACGAAAGTTTAGACAAAAGGTGTTCTAACACGAATACACTCATCACAAAAATAGAAATTCCTTTTTCATTGACATTTCATTACCAACAAAATCAACATTATGCTAACCGCAAATTCACAAAAACGATTTGAGTTTTTACTGTACTATGAATTGAGGGTTTTTTTTTTAAATAGACGTCACAAAAAACAACGTTTTTACACGTATTTTACGGAACGTGTCGATCTTGTTAACAAAAAAAAAACCTACATTTTCTATTTACAGTATTCGTTTTCCATTTGTATTTCCTTGAAACGGTACCGTTTAAGATGTTGGCTTCCATCCCGCTTGAAAGCATATCGAATATAATATACATATATAAGATTTTTTTCGAGATTCCACTTCGTTTTCGTTGTTGCTGTCGGATGTTTGTTGATCTTGATTTATTGACGTATGTTTTGAGAAAGTATTTCGATCTCATTCAAATCGTATGATCAGATGTACTCTCTCTCATTCACAGAACGTGTTTTTCTTTTACAAAGGCTAATTGATCGTTTGTTAGCGAGCTCTGTGATCTGATTCCGAAGCGTTCGGACCGGTGATTTGGTTGAATCAATAAATTCGCCGTTATCTGTTCCCGATGATTACCGCACTCGAGGTAACAAGGTTGAGGTCGATTTATAATTCATTCTGACTAGCTAACTGCCTATACGATGACCTGGATACAGCGTGACGTCTTTCCCGACCTCCGCAACACCAGCCTCTCCACTGAAGGTTGACATGGATTTTTCGAAACAATAGAACATGTTAAACAAAGGTTGCATTGTAAAATTGTGTTACGTAATAATGAAAATATGCTTTTATTTTTATTTTATGTAGTTTAATCGGAAATCTTTATGAGCAAAAAAAGGAAAAAAGAAAAGATAAATAGTTCATTGCTTGTACTCGATCTATAGTATTCTGTAATTACGTTAAAAAACAGCAAATTATGTTTCACCATTATTTTGTGCGGGTAACCTTCTTACCGCACCTCTTCCGTTTTTATGTTATACAAACAAAAATGATTTTTGATCGATTTAACCTTAATTAAAAACGTAAACATGGCCGACATAACTATGAATGTTATTAGAGTATGTACGTAACATTATTTTTCCGAAATCATTTGACGAGCACGGAATCTGTATTCGACTGAAACTTGCTATTAGAAGCTCGTTACGTTCACACGATTCAATTTAACTGAAAGAAATCATGAATTTTGAACAATCAAAAACATGTTTTGTCCGACACCGCGTGCTTTTTAAGCTATTGCATAGCTTTTATCGCGGGCCTTGAGCGCGGCAACCGAATCATGAAATTCCGTAACGAAAAAAACCTTACACCCCTTACTCCGCCTACCATGTAGCTCGCGTTCAACACGTTCACACGTTGCGCTTGTGTAGTGTTTGTGAATAAGCGCGTGGCGTGACGTCACACTGCATTCCCATCATGAAAAGTCTGCCCATCTCTCTCTCGTGCGGTCTAGCTTATGAGTGTGAAGGGGATAGTTAAGGTTTTGCTTTTATAGAGCGTGGTCTTGTTTTATTATTGTTTTAATTATCATTAAATTATCATTGTCTAATTATAATTGCATAAGTTGATAAAAAATGCTATGCAATAGCTTTAGCGCGGCAGTTCCCGAGTGCCACACGTTTTTATTTTTATGCGAAATTTACGTATCAATAAAACGATGTGCTTTATCGATTATTACGATGTCATTGCGAAAATCGTGTTCTTTGTACAAGTCGATAATATTATATAATATGCACAAATAAAATAGATTGTACAGATATGTGTAATTAATCAAAGTGGAAATATTTTGGAAATTTTGTTAATTGTTAATACAATTTTGCAGAAATCGTCGAAACAATATTATAATTTAAAAACAAAACAGATTTATAGACTCCTTCGACATATTTAAACAAAATGGAATGGTTTTCATCGCATCACAATAAAATGGTGTAGCGCATCACTTGAAAAAAGCTTAAACTAATTCTGTAAATGTTCGGAAGTGTACGAATAGTGTTTTATAGGATTAATAACGGTTCAAGATGGCCGGTAAATACGTATATCACATCTAAAGTAATAAAAATTTGACAGGACATGACAGGCCCTTGACCAAACGAGTTTTTTAATCAAAGCTAAAATTGATAATTGTTAAAACGAATTCTGCTTCAGAATATAGGTAAACCCAAAAAAAATGTTTAGTTTAAACGTATCTTAATTATAATGTAGGTCATGGCTCCTCCAATCGTGAAAACAGCTGAATATATTACTCGCTAGTGAAACTGTTTGGTTAGCAAGCATGCTCTTGTGTATCTTATCGTTTATCGCGATGTAATCAAACTCTTGGTTAATTAAATCACAAGTGGCTACAAACCGATTAAAACTCTCTTTGTCCTATTGATCAATCTATTTTAAGTTATCATTTTCACTTATCTCGAGGATTTGACCGTTCGAGTTCTCTTACGTACGACTTCGCTTTAGAATAATATACAAAACATTATTCCAATCAAACTCTCGAGATATGTATGTATGTATGTATAATACTTGTTGTCATTGATAAGTGCTCGCGTGCAAAAACACGTATGTACTCTTGTACTATTGGTTTTTTTTAAATTTCCTAATTAAAAAGAAATTGAAAATAAAGTGCTTCATAGAATATTGTAATGACATTTACTATTTTTTTTTAGTTTCTTACCAAGCAATCCACGGTCCTATTTTGATTTGTAATTAAAAAGTTTGGTCTCAATTTGGACGTTGATAGTAACATACATTTGTATAAGTACATTTATAAATAGTGTATATAAATAACATTTATCAATTATTCCTAACAGGGTAAATATGTCGAAAACTAGAGAAAGATGCTGAACCATGAGAAGCCAAATACTAAAAAGCTATACAATTTTTTTATACATTTGAGTCGTCATCAAATCAATATAACCTTTGAAATACATGTTGCATAACAAAAGCATACGTAAAACTTGTATTAGATCTCCAACACGGTAACCATTCAAGGTAAAATTTATAAATATTTACTGACTACAACTTTTCCGGCTTATGTCCGTGACGTCACAACAGAACGTTAGCGATTTCAGGCTTTATTCCATAGGCTGGTTCCTTATCGCTTGTCACCACACCCACATCATAGTTGACGTCATTAGAAGATGCGTTTCTCTCTTTATACTCAACCGCTTATAGTTTAATTGAATATTTATAATTACAATTACTAATTATGTAGTGACGTATAGTATTGAATAATGTAAATTTGTTATAAGACAACATTTTATATAGGTAAATAAGAATGAATCATACAGTCACAATGGTTCATCCCATGAAAACATTTTCAGTTATGTGCGGATTAAACAGCCCACTGACCTAATGGCACGTTCCACTTTAAGAATAAATGGCCAATATTTTAAAAATATTACATTATTCGATAAACATTGTAAGCGTTAATTAACAGACATTCAGTTCTTGTTCGTTTTTTTTTTATAGTACGTATTTTAGATAACTTTCAGTTCCATTGTAATTATAATTTTGTTAAAATGCAATTACGACTATGAACATTTTCTAATATTTTCATTTATTAAAAATAAGCAGTGAAGCGGTTAATTGGTTTTACTAGTGGTAGGCCGTCTTGTGAGCCCGCACGGATAGGTACCAACCACCACCCTGCCTATATCTGCCGGGAAGCAGTAATGCGGTTTGAAGGTCGTTGTACTGTAAAACTGAGACTTAGAACTCATGTCTCAAGGTCAGGGGCAACATTAACGCTTTTGATGTCTATCTAACACCGGTTACCACTTAACACTAGGACGACCGTGAGCTCGTAGCAAAAAAGCCTATAAACAAACAAATAGGACTTATAAATATACTACCAATTTATGAGATCGAAAATTCAATGGGACTGGAATAAAGGGTTTCCTGCTCTTCAAATCGGAATGCAAAGCTGCTTACCAACAGAAATAGGCAGGACGGCAGCATATGCATGAAGATAATTCTGATAAAAATATTACGTCAACATACTCCGTTGAATAACTTTAAAGATAACAGAACAGTAAACAGATGAACTTTCGTGAAAACGGATAAAAGGAGACGTTACAGATTATATCAACAGATCGAAGATAAAATAGACACGATTCATGGTACATAATGATATGGTAAGCAACGGCGCCAGCAATATGAGAATTCTATAACCAAAATGTTATTGTTCGCGCTTTCAAAGAAACGCGTGCGTCAAAGTCTTCCAATCAATAGATGCTTCTTCATCTATATTAATATTGAAATGTTTGGTTATAGGTTACTAGATCACGCGAAAGTGGCTGAACCAATTTCGAGAAAATTTTGTTGATAGCCTGGATTAGCACTTAGGATACGTTGATCGCATATATCTGCTATAATGAATTAGTACAGTGTGTTAGTTGTTTCGTGATTTTAGGTATCAACAGCCCCACAGATCGACTGGAGTCATCAGATTATCACACAAGAAATTCCTTATCACAGGAAAATACAGCATTTTTCAATTTCCGTGTAATATAAATTTAACATGGCTAAAGAAACCTCGGGGCACGTTTAGTAATTAGATTAATTAGTAGAATTTATTATTTAAAAGTAATTAATAATTTATGTACATATTCAGTTCTGCAGAAAAAACAAAAACTGACTGCTTTAGAAGATATGTTCATAAATAGAACATTTAGATATTTTCGTTCTAACTTACAAGTTTATATATCGTGTATGTACTAAGTACATAGGCGATACAAAGGCGTAAAAACAAAATTTAATTTTGTTTTCACATATTGTCATTTACATTTATTGCGATAATTTTTATCAAGAATACCAGTTATAACCAAACTAAGCGAAAAAACACAACCACAAGTATATTTTTGTTTAAAAGTAGATAAGTAAGTAAAAGGCAATTTTAAATTGACGTAGAAATGAGAAGTGGCGTAAGATCATGTGAAAACCTAATAAGAACTATGTACTCAATAATTGAATATAAATATTTGTTCAAATGCTAAAAGTTACATCACACCACATGGCTAACAAATTTTAATCGAATATTCGGTCCCTATTCTACAGACATTATCTTGTTACCAAGAGGGATTCGTGTCTGTTTTTTTGTACTTAATCGAATAATTATCACATTAATAGCCCATAATCTATTGTGTTACCATTCATACAAACACATTTTTACATCACTGATGTTCGTTTATCAGAAAACGATCAATAACCATATTAATTTCACAACCTTGGTGATACGATTTCATTGTCGTAGGAGTCTAGAGAACTTAACAGCGGCAGACGTTTTGACCGGATAAAAGCGATAAAATCAGGATACTGTAAATTGAAGCTCGCTTTATCAGCAGTCAGTCGTAACCCACCGAAACCGAATAAGAAATTCAAGAAGTGTCCGCGCTCTGTGACTGTTCATAATTATAAAGAAAATATAAATAGAATATCAAAATTTTCCTTCGGGATACGCAGAAACTAGCATCCTGAATGGATTCAGATCACATGGAAAACGCGATACTGGGAAAGCGATATTTTTGTAGTTTACAAGACTATGACGACACGGGCGGCCACTATACTAATCGAAGCGCGCTGAAGCGCACGGCTCAGTGTTGCGATAGCGCTCGTAGATAGCGGACGTTTTTGTGCACATTAAACTAAATTACAATAAATCGGAAGATTATCTCTGCGATTTCAGTTTTTAATTTATTTTTAATTTCTTAATATTATTTCGTTGTGAAATGCGCGTGTGCGCCGAGGGACAAAGCTTTCGTTCGGGACCGGCCCGTTGGTTGCGGATTCGCGCGGCGACATTGACGAATTCAATCGAAATGTTGCATTTCCAGTTCAAGAGGATGCTGAACAAGGAGCTGAGCCACTTCTCAGAGTCCAGCAAGTCCGGCAATCAGATCTCCGAGTATATCTGCTCCACATTTTTGGGTAAGAAAGACTGTTTTTTAATTTAGTTACATTATGTTCATTAGTTTTTTAATCTATATTATAACTTTTTTTTTTATTACTTTGGTGGGCGGGCGAGCTCACGGCCCACCTGATGTTAAGTGGTTACCGGAACCCATAGAGATCTACAACAGCTGCCCTCCCTTCAAACTGAAACGCATTACTGCTTCTCGGCGGAAACAAGCAGGGTAGTGGTACCTACCCGTGCGGACTCACAAGAGGTCCTACCAGTACCAGTAATTACGCAAATTATAATTTTGCGGGTTTGACTTTTACTACACGATGTTATTCCTTCACCGTGAAAATCAATCGTGAAAATTTGTGAAGTACGTGTTTCATTAGAAAAATTGGTAGCCGCCAGCGGGATTCGAACACCGGTGCATCGCTAGATACGAATGCACCGGACGTGCGTTGATTTTCATTAAAAGTGCTGATCGAATAATAACTAAGCAGAAGCTTAACAACGAAACTTCGGCAGCCTAAGAGAGCTTCATCGTTAAGTCTCATCATAGTCGGCTACTCTTGGCACAGCAGTCGTGGCCATATGGAATCATTGTTTATTAAGGAATCATTATTTATTGGCTCGTTAAGTGTACTCGTATACTAACTATTAGGCTAATTATTTATTGGTAAAGTCTTGTTAACTAGCCGATTAGATGCCGTTAGGTAATTATTGTAATTAATAATTAGGTACTTTACTTTTGAAAATTAATTTGCCGACAACATTAACAAATAAAGAAAAGACGTGGTTCGTAAATTAAATATATGTACATACAAACGAACCTTTTTTTTTAAAGACCGTATACAAATATCGTAATTTCAAAGTAAACCATTTCAAAGTCCCTTCTTATTATATATAAAAGCACGGCGAGGCGAAAAAAATAAATTACCAAATCAAACGTACAAACGTTTAAAGTTACAAATGAGGATGATGGATGTTAAGAAGGAAATTTAGGCTTTTTTTTATTTCCATAGATTTTTGTTGCCGAGCCCATGAGCTCACTCATTGTTACGTTTTTACTGAAGACATCACAACGTCAATGTTGCTAAACGCCTTCAGACATGAGTTCGAAGTCTCCATTCCAATGTGGATCGACTTTCTTACTCTTCAAATCAGAACACATGACTGCTTCGCGCTACATACCCCGGTCACCGTCCTCGCCGAACCCGTCGCTTGCGACGAAGGGCTCGACGAGCGAATTAACCCATAGGCACAGCTCACTGAGTTTCTCGCCGGATCTTCTCAGTGGGTCGCGTTTCCGATCCGGTGGTAGATTCTGCGAAGCACTGTTCTTGCTAGGGTCAGCGTTAGCAACACTCCGGTTTGAGCCCCGTGAGCTCACCTACACACGTTAGGGCGAAGCTGAAATAGCCTCCCAAGACTATCATAGGTAAAAAAAAAGTGACATATCAACAGAATGGTGTTACCTAGCCGTGCGGGCTCACAATACCACCTACCACCAATAATAACCGTGCATTTTCATAAATTAAACGCTCGTATGAATCCGTGACCTTTTTATTTTGACGTCAGCATGTTGTTACGACCCTCGCCTGCCCCGCGCCAAGGGGATGACAGCGCCCCCATTCGTTTACTTTCATTAATTAACAAACATTCGTACTGCAAACTAATCGATAGAGCTCTAAACATGACGCCGCTAAACGCTTATGTTAATGTTACCGTTATATTTGAGTCCATAACATTGCACTTATTTCCGTAGCGCGTATTACGCCTTCCGGTTTGAAACGTGCGCCTGCATGACACAGTCTAATTGAGACATCGACCACATCAGCCTCAAGGGCTCACTAAATACCATAAGCGCTGCCTACAAATAAGATATGTGATACAATTAATTTGCCTGTATCATAATGTGCTTAGTATTTAAGACTCTTCCTAAAACGTGATCGAAATATAATGATGGCACGCTTTTGAAACGTTTATAAATTGAAAACCCGAAACGATCGTCCCAAACAAATAAAATATCAATTAAAATATAGATTAGGTTAATCGCTTTGACACTTTTCATTGAAACTGAATTTGGCTAGCTTTCTAGCGTGTGTTAATTATTTACGTAATAGGGAGATAAAACCAATTTTCAATTTTCCCATTACTAAAAATATGTTTTTTTTTTGCACCGAAAGTATCCTTATGGCTTAGTAAAACACCGAATCATATTCTGTCGATCTAACTGTATACACTTCTTTTACCATAGAATGAAATGCCTTCAGATCCTTTCGAATTATTACTTTTATTGCATTAGATGAGCAAATAATCTCACGGTCCACGTTAAAATATCGTTGCAAATACCACTTCACAGCAGAAATACATGAGATTGTAATCCGAACCACTCCGAACAACAATGGTATTACTTAAATAAACTAATATTTTTATTTTAAAATCAGTTTTTCACATTGTAATCGAAGCACAAGAAAGCAATTGATATTTACATTTGTATGCGTGAAAATTTAAGCCCAAATATTTAAATTATGTAAGTGAAATGAATTCAATTTAATTTAATTTAAAACATGATATATTTTTTATTAAATTAAATTTGATTTTAAAGACACTTCTTAGTCGATTCTCCGATATATTTTTTGTCGTAAAGGTGTTCGCAGTTTTTGTGACGGTTATGATGATTGCGACCGAAGTATCTTTTTGTATTAAAACACAAAGGTATAACGATAATAAATGTCATTTCACTCGTTTATGATATAATATGAAATCTCAAGAGATATTTAAAACCGGTAATAAGTGCTGTTCAATTTTATAAAAATTGTCTTTATATACTTGTGTGTTCAATAAATTAATGAATGAACGGTTAATCATTCGATGAAACAGCTAGATCCCGCTTTCAATCCGGAAGGCATAACTACTTTGCGTCGGATATCGGCAGTTATACATAATCTATTTAATTGCTTCAATGGCCATCAGTTAACGAGCCTATTGAGAGAGTAATTAATTGATGGAACAATATTACAATAGATTAGTGTTTTTTCTATATAATACCCCTCTTTTACCTGCAAATAAATAAGTAATTAAGATATTTTTAATTTAAAATCAATAAACTGTTTTGATTATTTATTCAAAAAAAATGTTTTTAAATATTATTAATACTCTATAATATATGTTAGGAATTTTGTCGCTTAGTGTCTATTCCCTTCTTATGTATCCTATCACATATTACAAACAAAAGTACATAATAATCATGTACATAATAAAATATTTTAGCGTCGTAATTTGTTAATATTAAAAATTAATAATTTCACAAGTAAACAAAATACATTTTAAATGGCCACACGAAGAATTGTGCATAATATTTACTAACAGGATTAATTGAATGTAAAGTGAACGCTTAGTAGGTTACATTTACGCCACACTCGTATCAAACTGATTACCACGGGAATCTTAATATTATAATGCAGAAGGATTAGAACAATATCATATGTATACTGCGCCGTTTCACAACAGAACCTACATACATATTTCATTTCCAAAATTATAATAATACTAGCCGTACTCGCCCGCTTCGCTGCGCATTTAAAATTAACATTATTATTTATTGTCATTAATATTAGGGAGTCCAACACTCATATAAGTATTAGCCTATCCACTAAGTACACATGTTTTCTACATTAATACAAAGTTTCAAGTCAATCGGATGCATGGTTCAGTAGTTATAACGGAACATCCGTGAAAACCACTGTAGATTTATATATTAGTATAGATTCGTTTAAAAGTTCACGGGCGTGAAGTTTCCTTATTAAAATTTTATAATAGTTACGAATTTAATTAAAAACAAAAGTCTCGGTTTATCATCATTACATGATCGATTACATTTATCTATCTATAGGAACATACCCTGACCTAGAATCGTATCAACAAATTATGAACGCTTTACAACAATATTTCGCCCACTTTCGTTTTTGACATCAATACCTAATGACACGGTTTTGTAACGCAACAAATATGAAACTAATATTTACCTTACGCTTAGATCGTATAATAAAAACGAAAAAAAGTAATCGAAACTTCTTATTATTCATTCTAATTATTTTTTCTCAACTTTTACTGATAGAATACTTGTCTTGGTCCCTTTCAGACAAACAACAGGAGCTTGACTTACCATCCTTACAAGTCGAAGAAACTTCGGAACGCGGCGCCAAGAAAAAGGAAAAACCCCGTCATGGCGGACCTGCGACTACGATGTCACAAGTAAGTTATATATTTTATTTTAATTATCAGTACGAAGTACTTAACTTTTATGTCGGTGCGATTAATACTGATTCATTATTTCTTCACAGATATCGGGTGTTAAGAGGACTTTGACACACACAAATAGCTTCACCGGCGAACGCGTGCCGAGGTATGGAGTTGAAACACCGCATGAGGAAGAGCTCGGCCTTCTTCTCAGCGATCTAGACCGGTGGGGAGTGGATATATTCCGCATCGGTGATCTGTCATGCGGTAGACCACTCACTGCTGTCGCGTACACAGCGTTCACATCACGGGAGCTGTTGACTACTCTTCAGATACCGGCGCGTACTTTCTTGGCGTTTGCAGTTACCTTAGAGGAGCACTATATTCGAGACAATCCTTTCCACAACTCTCTCCACGCTGCCGATGTCACACAGTCTACAAACGTACTGTTGAATACACCTGCGCTTAATGCTGTCTTCACGCCACTAGAAGTTTGCGCTGCTCTTTTCGCTGCCTGCGTCCACGACGTCGATCACCCGGGCCTCACCAATCAATTCCTCGTCAACTCCAGTTCCGAACTCGCACTAATGTACAACGACGAGTCAGTCCTCGAGAACCACCACCTTGCAGTCGCATTCAAGCTGCTGCAGAATGATGGATGTGATATTTTCGTGAATCTTCACAAGAAACAAAGACAGACCCTCAGGAAAATGGTTATCGACATGGTCCTCTCGACAGATATGTCGAAACACATGAGTCTGCTGGCGGATCTGAAGACGATGGTCGAAACGAAGAAAGTCGCGGGTAGCGGTGTCTTATTGCTAGACAACTACACTGATAGAATTCAAGTATTAGAGAATCTCGTACACTGTGCCGATCTGAGCAATCCTACTAAGCCGTTGCCACTGTATAAACGATGGGTGGCATTACTGATGGAAGAGTTCTTCCAGCAAGGCGATCGTGAACGTGAACATGGCATGGATATCAGTCCAATGTGTGACAGACATAATGCTACTATAGAAAAATCTCAAGTCGGTTTCATTGACTATATCGTGCATCCTCTGTGGGAAACTTGGGCAGATTTGGTACATCCTGACGCTCAAGATATTTTGGACACCTTAGAAGAAAACCGAGACTATTACCAAAGTATGATTCCACCGTCACCGCCACCAGCACCGATACAATCCTCACACGCCTCTGATGATGATCGCCCTGAACAAATACGATTTCAAGTGAGTCACTACTTTAACTTTTTCTGTCTATATATTATTCGACTTAAGTTGCATTCTTATTTTTAATTACAGTCAAAATTACTCGTTTCAGTCAGCAATTAAAATATAAAATGTAGTTGAAATTAATTAATCCATATCCATACATACATACATACATACATTAATTTATAATAGACTATAGTTTCTTTTAAATTGTCAAGGTCTCAGCACGCAATTTCAGACGCTTTTAAAATGTACAATAACTTTTATAATTATCAACCAATTTAAATTAAAAAAAAATGGTACCTTGAGCTTATCTGAATGCGTTAACGTAAACTAGATCTTAATTGATTTAACCATTGTGCTTTTACATGCTTATCCTACAGACAAATCGTTACCATATTATTTAAATTATTAAATATTGAAATAATGACTTTTTCTTCACAGGTCACCCTAGAGGAGGGAGAAGGATCAGAAGATTGCGAGGGCGAAGGTGATGGTGGAATGTGACGGAAACTACTCGGAATCTGCAAGAAACTCACTGAAAAGATGCAAGTGTGGTGGAAGCTCTGGCAGTAGAGCAGACACGGGTCGACCGTGGAGCGACGAAGCCTGGATACGCCAACATTGGCGGTGGAAGAAGGCTTTAGGGTTTAAAACATACTAAAATTATTACAGATTCCATGAGTTTTAATTGTAAAAATGAATACGTTTTGAGGCTAATATTAATAGGTGTCCCTTGAGTCTGTTGTATAAAGTGTACAGCGCCACCGACGGGCGGGTGCGTGCCGTATAATGACGCCGCACGCGCGCCCCCCCCTCCCTTGTTGGATAGTAATATTTGTTGACGCTTAAAATCGAAATGAAACGACATGCGATTGTATCGTCACATTTCGATATGATTATGTTTATGTGATCATTACGCGATGTTGTTTAGATTTACCTAACGTTTGTAATAATTGTCCCTCCAATGTTTGTGTGACGTTCGATTGTCTAGTGTTTGTATTGTCGTTTCGTTTTGTCTAACCAAAGATGTGAAACAATTTCGTTCGCAGTAATATCGTACGATGATCCTTGTGAGTGGTTAGTGTTCGGTTCGTAATATTAAAATTGTCGTAATTAGTCTATAGTTGTCGACGTCGTATATTATCGGCTCGACTGTTAAGGACATTGAAAACGCTTATTAATTGGTATGAAAGGGTAATTTATATTTGTCATATCATCCACGTTTCTCATATATAATACGGGTTTGCGATAATGATGTTATTCACCAAAATATATTAACATGATAGGTATCTTAAATATTAAAACTTATTTAAGGTAAATTTTAAAAATTGCCTTTCGAAGTTATCATTGTGTCTTTCTTCTAAAAAATAATATTGCAAAATTCGGTCAATCAATTAATGTTGTACCTTTATTTGTGGAACTCCCAACTATAATCGTATTTATGTATTTTCAATTACAGTTTTGTAATACTTTCAATTAGAATATCAACACCAGGAGATGTAACGGAGCCTCCTTAAGTGTCTCTGATGTCTTGTTATTTATTAACTACAACTGTTCAAACATGCAAACCATTGTTGCATCTTCTATGCTTTAAATTATCTATCAATTCAATGTGTTGGATAAACACGTTATATTTGTGAGTGTAGAAAAATTGTAAATATTCAATATTCAAAAATAATAATTCAACTAAATACGTCATTTAATACGGAAGTTCCACATTTAATTGGGAGTTAAAAAGACACTGTAACTTCATCCAATTTAGGTAGCTTTACTTAATTTGAGAACCTAATTTCACCTCATCTCTTATAGCGGATCGCTGGCGATCCCTTTCATTTTTCTCCTTAGATGATCAATTATTTTGTAGGTTTATCGACGAAATCACTGTAATTTAAATTTATCAAAAAAAAAAAGAACTTAGTCGTAAAGTGTTCGTGTACTCAACTAACTGGCTTGATATGTTTGAAATAAGTATTACATACTAACAATAGAGTGGTTTGCGACATTTTCTCTTGAACGACACAATAGGAAATAATTAGTTTAAAATGTTACGGCACGTAGGCCGGGTATTGCAATAGTTTAAACGTGAATACGTAGTTCCCTCTTGTGTATTATCAATGAAAATTGTTAAATAAAATAAAATAGCAGTAAATAATACTAAATAAATATGTGCATAATATTATGTATGTATAACAAACGAACATAACAGTTATGTGGAAATTTTATGTAAAACGTAATACTTAATTGAACAGTCTAGGTATTGTTTGCATTTCACATTTTCAAATTAAAACAAAAACAGTTCTTCATGTCCTAGTTTGTAACTCAATATTTTTATGAGCTGGTCTCTTTGTTATTTGTCACGTACCTAAAGGTTTTTTTTTTAAATATATTTTACAAACGATTTAAGTTCCTTTGAGTTTTTTTTGTGGTTCCTTTTATTCTAATTTCCTTACCCAATACAACTAGTAATCCAATATATAAAAATGAATTCAAATTAAATGTGTTATATGTACCATAATTTCTATAGAATAGTTTATCTATAAAACCTAATTTTGTTTCTCGAAACAAAACTTTTTGCCTGCCCATTTAAAGTTAATATATGATCAATACGCTTGTGTGTTATATATTAGAGATTATTACGCTTAGAGATCCTTGTTTTCTAATAAAGTACGATGTAAAAAATTGTGTTAATATGATATTCTTACTGCAGTAGATCTGTGTATTATACGTATATAGTGGAGTGTTCTTTCGCATGCTATGAACAAATACATGTATCCAATTTATTATAATAAGCAGTCATTGAACTCAGTAAATTGTTTATGTACTAGGATTATTGTATTACCTAATTGTTGTTCTACGAGCCAAACGAATAAATGTTCACGTTTTAAAAACTATCTACTGTTTAGATTGTGAATGAAAATTAATCGGTGTGCATCGTTGACCAAATGTAGCATGCCCAAAATCTTTGCATATTCGAACTGACTAGAAATATGTATGTTGACGATTTCATAAAACGTCGAAATTATATACAGGTTTCTAGTACATAATATCAATAAATTTAACGTTTTATTCGGATGTGTCTGCCGTTGTATTGTCATGTCTGCATTTTGCGTCAATGCGTGCTGTAGGATTAGTCATTTCAATTTTGATTTTGCCAAAGTTTCTCAACCTTGTGTATAACGTTTTGTCTATATGAACTATAGCTAATATAAATTGATTAATACATAGTTAAATATTAAATATTGAGTGCGTATATGCAATGCTGGTCATTTGCATAACTTAATATTTATATTTAAATAATAGCTTGTAATAGTTTAAAATGAACATTTGAGTTGTATTAAAAATATTAATGTATTTAGAATAAAAGAAATGGGAGAAAATTGTTGTGTTTTTTCATTGGTAATCATGAAACAAACCTAGTCTGGATACGTAAGTGCTACCTGTGTATCTAACTAATTAATTTGAGTATCTGCAATGACCTCTTTTCTAAAAATAAATATAAATTAGTAGTCATAGACAGCAGCTGATTACTGGTGGTAGGACCTCTTGTGAGTCCGCACGGGTAGGTACCACCGCCCTGCCTATTTCTTCCTTGAAGCAGTAATGCGTTTCGGTTTGAAGGGTGGGGCAGCCGTTGTAACTGTACTGAGACCTTAGAACTTATGTCTCAAGGTGGGTGGCACATTTAGGTTGTAGATGTCTATGGGCACCAGTAACCACTTAACACCAGGTGGGCTGTGAGCTCGTCCACCCACCTAAACAATAAAATGAAAGATGTGGTGTCGTGGGACACCAGGTAGGAACGAAGTTCCTTCGGCTAAAGTAGAATCAACACAATTTGCAAAAAAAAATCGTGCTCAATTTTATGTAGGTTTTCTTGATTTTTCTCTTAAATTTTGCTGATTAGTTTTTATTTAAGTGCAGGAAAGTATGTAAAAGTAAAAGAAAGAGGGAGAAAGAGAAAGGTATTATACACTACTCGCTTGTGTATGCGATTGTCGCGCCTGCGCACGTCTCATTTAACGGTTTTATACCANAAAAAAAAAAAAAAAAAAAAAAAAAAAAAAAAAAAATTGCTGTACTGAGACCTTAGAACTTATGTACAAATGTACCCTTCACTCTTCTAATGGGGAGGAAAACCTACAATATCTAACCTTTTGAAGTCGTCGTGGCCTAAAGGATAAGACGTCCGGTGCATACGTATCTAGCGATGCAACTGTGGCGGTGTTCGAATCCCGCAGGCAAATACCATTTTTTGGTAATTTTTTTATGCACTTAACAAATTGTTCATGATTGACTTCCACGGGGAAAAAATAGCATCCTGTAATGGAAATCAAGCCCGCAAATTATAATTTGTCTAATTACTGATGGTAGGACATCTTGTGAGTCCGTATGGGTAGGTACCACCACCCTGCCTATTTCTGCCGTGAAGCAGCAGGCAATTCGGTTTGAAGGGTGGGGCAGCCCTTGTACTGTACTGAGACCTTAGAACTCCCATCTCAAGGTGAGTGGCGACATTTACGTTGTAGATGTCTATGGACACCGTTAGCCACTTAACACCGGGTGGGCCGTGAGCTCGTCCAGCCATCCAAGCATAAAAAAATCTATTGATGATTAGACTAGATTTGCACTAACTATACACATCCTCTCAAATGGAAAGTGAAAATGTCATCTTTATTGCCGAAGCAGAAAATAATGAAGCGATGTGACTCAAAATTATGTTTATGTTCTTGCGATGCCATGCTGCCAATAATGAGTTTATAAAATTCTTTAATTTATTCATCATAGATTCTTATTATTCTTAACTCATTTTAATATCAGTCAATTGTTTTATTTGAGATTGTAGTCAGGAGTAGAAATAGAGTCTCAGTAAAAAAGCGGTTTTGTACTAAAACTTAAGTGGATATTTTCTCACATGTATGTCCTTTCCTGTGAAATCTGCATCTGTATGCTAAACAATTAATAAGCTATCGTTATTACACGTTTAAATTTGAAGAGATTCTAAATAAAACAATTAACACAACTTTGCTCCTCGTGTTCCCGCTAGTTGATAATATAATCTGTGATACAGAAATGCAAGTATCTCAAATTTACCCTACACATTTTAATTATAAATCATAAATTACATAGTTATTATAAATTTTGTACGGAAAGTTCTTAATTCACTTTGAATACCGGTGCTTTAATATTATTTTCTTTGGTCAATGTAACACAGCCACTTAAAAGGTAGGTCGATCCCTAGGAGGTAAAAGGTTGAGTAGGCAAAGGCCGTAAACAATTATGTAAAGAAAAAACTTTTAAAAGGTAGCATTTCTCAGAATTGTTTACATTTCGTTCCCAATTAATTATTATCTTAATAATTCAGCACTAGAATGGCTGCAGTTGTAACAGAAAATGATGTTACCGAAAATGTAGTGGAAAATGGAGAAGATGACGATGTAGAGGTTATCGATGAAGGTGACACAAAAGATCCCGCAAAGAAGAAGAAAAAGAAAAAAAAGAAGAAGAAGGCAGGTAAAGATTATTATAATGGAAATTTTTACAACCTAAAGAACGAATAACTGAGAATTCTGTACATTAAAACTTCGCCGTAGATAACACGCCATTTGCTCTCGTTAATTGTTTTTAAGGTTATGTGTCTACTTTTATTTATACTCAATGCACCCTTAACATAATAAATATTACTTTCCACTGTTGATGGAATCAGTTAACATAATGAGATTATAATAGGCGCAGTCAAAAATGCTATGATTATAGCTATCTTACAAATAACCTCCATAACATTTGAAAATCTATTTTGGTACATCACAAATAGTCTTAGAAATGTTATATGTACAAATATAAGTTTGTCATGTTGAAGACAAATATTAAAATACGCCATTCAATCACGAAAGTTCATCAACATCATAATATTGTTAAATTATCATTATCTTAGTACAAAGGTCGCAATAACAATGACGATTAATACAAACAGAATAACATTTTTAGAAGGTGAAACTGCTAAAGAAAGTCCGACAGAAGTGACTGCAACAACAGAAAAATTAGAGGCATTATCTCTTGGAGAGAATGCTGGTGAAGGTGATGAGAAAAAGAAAAAGAAGAAGAATAAGAGTAAATCTGGAAAAGGATCTTCTAAGGAGCAGACCGTCCCACCTACTATACCAGTAGCGGAACTATTTCCTGATGGTAGTTACAATTTCTTAATTAAATTTACTTTCCAAAAACATAGCGAGGGGTGAAAGGCCATTTGGTTTAAGCGACATTTTTCCAATCTTACGGGAGAGCCATTTAAAGTTTAAAATATCATAACAAAAAAACTTCTTCAGCCATTTGAATGAGGCAAGCTTAATGAAGTTCAACTAAAAGCATCAAATTGCTGATGCTAATACTTAATAAAAGAAACCTTTGATTACAAAGATAATGCATGCAATATCGCATTGCAAGTAAATGTGACATAAACCAAATAGCCTTCGCTTGTCAATATTTATGTTATGTAACGAATGATATCATTAAACGTAGAGTACACAGTGAAATACAATTGAAATTTCAACTGCATATCTTAAGGTACTGCTATTCGTGGTAGGCATCGACTTGGCTCTGTCCCAGACAGATGGGTTGAATGCTCATTAGCCTAAAAGGACAACAAAAAATTATGGGTATTCACATTGTGAAAATCCCTGATAACCACTTAATGTGATGGGAGCCCAAAACTTATATATACATTTTTGCAATAAAAAATGAGATGGCGGTCATTATGTACTGATATCTATGAAAATGTCAGCTTTGTAAAATATAATGAAATATCTATAAAAAGTAAGATGTTTACAACAACCATATAGTAACTATTATCACACAATCCAAGGTTTGGTTAATTTCATAATGCTATGTAATACAAAATAACAGATATCATATCACAATTACAAGGTTATTATAATCAATAATGTTCCTCTAAAATCATTACTTAACATGAAATGAAGTTGTAAAAAAACCCTAATTTTATTGCCTTTAAAATGTGGATTTCTTATGCAAATGTGGGTTTCTTACCAATAATTAGGTTCAATTTTAACTGTAAGAAAAAGCTCTAACTCCATTTGACCTTAAATGGATTTCAGGGTAAATAACACTTAAATTACTATGTAATATTAAATAGGAAACTTTCCTGAGGGTCAAATTATGGACCATGGTCCTGCTGAGGGTATTGATGAGAGAACTGCAAAAAATCGTTTTACAAGTGAGGAGAAAAGAGCTCTTGATAGATTACATAAAGATATTTATCAGGAGATCAGACATGCTGCTGAAGCCCACAGGCAGGTATGCAAACTTGATGTTACTAGTAAGTGATAGAAAATACAGAAAACCTGACAGAAAGTTAGATTTTTTGAGATCAGGATCACCAAAAATTTCATAAACTCATTTCTGTATGGAGTCTAATAAAAGCAGCTGGTAATTTTTATGACTCAACCCTTTTATGGGAGTGAACTCCACACTGACATATTATACTTTATAAAGCAAGAACAACTAGACATGTCTGATGATGAACATTAAGATGTTTTCTTTGTGAATTTCAGTACTCCAAATTTGTGGTTATATTTAATTGGGCTCAAAAAGCTTAATTAGACTAGACAGTGACTTTGCTATGCCTCCAGCATTGCTTATTATCCTTAACCAACAGTGGCTACTCACCATCATGTGTCACTCATACAAAAGCAATAAATAAAGTAAAATCCATTCCAGAACGTTCTTTACTCGAAACACAAGGTTTTGTTTTTCTTTGCTTTAAACTATTCTTAAATTTATTCTCATGTATCATGCCTAATTTTTACCACTATTTGCATACTTTTGGATATTAAATGCAGGCAAAATAATTGCACCAAAATTTGAACCTTGAGATGTATTGTGTTAGGAAATACATCGTACTGATAAATGTCATTGACATGCCTTTTAGTACAGTAAAAGCTAGTTTAGTTTAGTACAGTAAATCCAAATTCACGTTTTCACTATTCCTGGATTTAAAAAATGCGACCCAAATTCCTATATTCCAGACTAAATGTTTCTTTATTCGCGGATCTAATAGGTACAATACACATTGATTAAAATGATTCCAACATATAAGTATCCAACTAAATACCCTTTGTAAATGGGCTTTTCTATATTCGTGGCATATTGATGGAACATATACCCCGTGAATAAAGAGCTTTTACTGTATATCAATCAGAAGTCAATGATGATTATGAGCACTTTGGATTATGACTACTCCAATGGTGTAATGATGAAAATAAAGAAGAAAAAAACAGTGTTTTTTAGAAAAAAATATTATGACTACATTGACTATTTTTAATATGTATATCAGACAAGAAAACACATCCGCAATTGGATCAAGCCTGGCATGACAATGATAGATATTTGTGAAGAGTTAGAGAAGACTGCGAGACGTCTTATTGGGGAAGATGGGCTCAAAGCAGGTCTGGCTTTCCCCACAGGATGCAGCCGCAACCACTGTGCGGCACATTATACTCCTAACACAGGTAAAGAACAGACAAATTTATTAATTTATTCAACTTCATGCACAAAGGTATAATGGTGGAATTAATGACTGAGACATTCTCTACCAGTCAACCAAGGGTGATGTATAGAGTTCTGTGGTAGGTGCATTACTTATTGCGAATACATATTTTAATAATGTTTTTATTTTGATCTAAATAAATACAACAATACGCACAAATTGAAATCTCAGTCTCAAGCTGTCCATGAGAGTTTTAATTTTTTTATCCTATTTATTACACTATTACACAGTAAGACCTTCCTGCCAATTTGATACCCAGTTTTCTAAATATTTATACAGCTTAATATGTATTGCTACCTCCTTCCACAACAAAAAAACAATGTCATAAGATAATAAGTAAAACCGATTTTTTTTCTTTAGGTATTTTCCTCAATAATGTAGTTTTATTTTCTATTCAAGGTGATACAACAGTTCTCGAATATGATGATGTAGTGAAGATCGACTTTGGTACTCACATAAATGGTCGTATTATTGACTGCGCCTTCACATTACACTTTAACCCACGCTATGATCCTCTTGTGAAGGGCGTTCAAGAAGCTACAGAAGCTGGAATTAAGGCGTCAGGGGTCGATGTAAGGCTTTGCGATGTAGGTGCTGCTGTACAAGAGGTAATTAATTACCAATACTTTGTATTATTACTGCTTTTTGCAATGTTTACAGAAAACATTAATGCTATATAGTGATATTATCAGTAGCTAATATAAACCAAATTAAACTATATTGCATGAACGGAAAATGAAATTTAAACTAAGCATAATTTTGTTATGATTGCGAAAACTGTAAAGTATTCAAAATGTCGGAATCCTTTTATTATTATAAAAGGATAATAATAGAAAACGCCAGATTAAACTATAAAGTTATTTTTAATTATAAATATTATTATTTTTGCATATTCGTATTTCATTATCCAACCATACAAAACAAAGGTAAACTAAGGTCTAAATAATAATCTAATATCTCTGCTTGCTAACTACTTGTAATTTGTTATTTAAATTACTTACGTACAATGCGTATGTACAATTAATAGAGATTTGTGTTTAAGCGAATAGTCGCTTAAACAAAATAGCCTTTCACCGCTCTATTTAATAAAATATATTGTTTTCAGTTTATATTCTCTATCACCCTGTATAAATTAAATCTTAAAGGGTGTTCCTTAATTAAACTACATACATTACATTAAAGACTAGACTAACGGCTTAAAATGTATTAAAATAAGATATTTTAAATCTCAGGTAATGGAGTCACATGAAGTCGAACTCGACGGGCAGATGTACCAGGTGAAACCAATCCGTAATCTTAATGGACATTCAATTGAACCTTATAGTAAGTATAAGAGTGACTAAGCGCAATCATTCACTTTTTTTTAAGGGATTTTATGACCTGGTAACTAAGACCTTTAGGTCAAGTCTTCTTTTAATTTATATTTTATGAACAATGATAATATGGAGTGAAATGAAATGAAGATGTAATGTAATGATAATATGGAGTGAAATGAAATGAAGTTGATTAATGTCTCAAATTAATATTTGAGACATTAATCAACTGGGATGAATTAAATAAAATGATATGGGATGAAATAATTTCAGTAAAATGGTGGTCATTTACTGAGATTTTTCAGTGGACTTTTTGGAGGATCCCGAGAATTACGTCCAGAGGCATTGTTTCATTTTCCCACATTTGTGCACCTTCACAGATATTAAACAGTTAATAAACCACCGCTATTAAACCTGAAGAAACACTAAATAGACAAAATAAAACAAATCACACAACTTCACTCCTCGCCTTCCCGCCAAAAAATCCGCAAACATTCACAATTGATTATCTGTAATAGATACTATTATGGATGTACTCTTATAGATTACTGATAGATGGATTATTATTATTATTATTGTAGATACATTATGTTATTAGAGGTTGTCACAGCCTAAAACTTAAGATATTCAGTGTTTTCATTCCTGCTTATCAGCAACTTATAACCTAGTTATATCTATGTAGGACAATCTTTGTACAATGTACTAAATACTTAGTACATTGTCTCAGTAGCTTGGGGCATTCATATTGTGAGTCCAGTAACTCACTTGATACTAGGTAATCAATTCTTAGCCAGAGTCACTTTTGATAAATCCAAATTCATGTAGCCATTGTAAAGTTTAATTTGCAACATAGCCCAGAAACAATATGGAGATACTCTCAAACACAATGTGGTAATTACATACATGGTCAAATCCAGTAGTACTTTGTAAAGTTAATAACCTATGAGTTGGCATGCTTTAGTCATAATGAACTATTTCCCACCCCGCCTATTTCTGCCGTGAAGCAGTAATGCGTTTCGGTTTGAAGGGCGGGGTAGCCGTTGTAACTATACTGAGACCTTAGAACTTATATCACAAGGTGGGTAGCGCATTTACGTTGTAGATGTCTATGGGCTCCACTTAACACCAGGTGGGCAGTGAGCTCGTCCACCCGTCTGAGCAATAAAAAAAATCATACTGCAGACGGCTATGTCTAACAAGACGTTAATATATAAATATTTATTAATTTAACGATCCAATCCAAAATATTATTATTTCCTGTAGAAATCCACGCCGGTAAGACAGTCCCGATAGTGAAAGGTGGCGAGACAACGCGCATGGAGGAGAACGAAATCTACGCTATAGAAACTTTCGGATCCACTGGACGTGGTCAAGTTCACGACGACATGGACTGCTCTCACTACATGAAAAACTTCGATCAGCAATTTGTTCCGTTGAGGTAAAATACAGTTAAAACCAACATTTAAGAGTAGGACAGTTATTTGTTTTTCATTCTAACGTAACTATACTGAGACCTTAGAACTTATATCTCAAGGTGAGTGGCGAATTTACGTTGTAGATGTCTATGGGCTCCAGTAACCATTTAACACCAGTTGGGCTGTAAGCTCGTCCACCCATCTAAGCTATAAAGAAACCTCGTTTCTTTAAGATATTTAACGGTAGTCACGTGTATTGTACAGTCAAGTCCATCCAACTCTTTTTGATGAATTAATGATTCTCAATAAGGAAAACAGATATAATTTTATACATACTTTTCTTGTTACATTCTAAATAACATTTTTAACTCGTCGTCTTATTGGCAACCGCATTTGGAGATATTTTATCTCCGTTTATGTTATTAGGTATAGATAGGTCAATCAATAGGTTTTTTGTTAAATGAAAGTAAGAAAAATAATGATAGTTAATCAATCATTGATAGTTAATTCATCAATCATCAATCGTTGATAGTTAAAATGTAATAAAATTATCGCTCGCTTTCTTTCTTTCATGTTATGATTCTTTTCGAATACTTTTAGTTTTGGTGATCACGATTAGCGACTAGCGATACCAATGATTGAATTAATGAAATTAAATTATAAATGTCAATTTTTAGATTGCAATCGTCGAAACAGCTTCTGAACGTGATCAACAAGAACTTTGGTACTCTCGCGTTTTGCAAGCGCTGGCTGGAACGCGCCGGGGCCTCTCGTTACGCGATGGCGCTGAAGGACCTCTGCGACAAGGGGGTGGTGGATGCCTACCCGCCCCTATGCGACATCAAGGGGTGCTACACAGCACAGTTCGAACACACCATCCTGCTCAGACCCACCTGCAAGGAAGTCGTGTCCCGTGGCGATGACTACTAACCTCCGATCCGAATAACCTTTTGAACGCCACCTCATACTCATCAACACGTGTAAATCCTAACTCGGGACAGCTCTAACTGTAGTGATCAAAAGGTTAAAAGATCTACAAATGTTTGAACTGTTTTAATACTGGAAATGTAGTTGTAATGCTTTTATAACATGTTTTGGAGTCGTAACTGAATACTAATAAATGTACTTACGGGGTGTAAGGGAGACGCTCTGCAAGCAAGAACTTTGAGTCACAAAGAATAATGTTCATATGCTAAGTATGCAATAAGCCAGCGGTCGGGGAACTTTTTTAATTATTACCCCAAAATATTTTTGTGTAGGTAAGTTGATATGGCGAAGAACAAAAAAAAACGAAATCGCTTCTTTTCAGCGTCTTTCATATTATAGCCCCCACCATAATATTGAAAAAAAAAAAAAAAAAATTTTTTGTTTCATTTCATTTCGTTTCATCGAGTTTGAAATCACAACGATTCTAAAGAAGTTTCACTTCAATATATACTTTTTATACACAAAAGTTTCATTTTTACCCCCCAAAATTTCATTTTACCCCATTTGGGGTCATTTACCCCGGTTCCCCGACCGCTGCAATAAGCCCTCGTGTATAACTTGGTGTTGCATGGCCAATGACCAATATTTCACCATGTAGTTTCGCTTTCAGAATCGTGTCCCTTGTAACGCGTAAGCCGAGTGGAATTTTCATTTAAAATGTCTTAAACTGCAAAGTATAGCGAAAAACGCTAAGAGAACTCACGAAAATATGGTTTATGGTTTCCATGGTTTGCGTTTAACGTTATTCTTCTTTATTTTATATTAGATTCCAAATTACACTTGAAAGGTATATCCTGTATATTTGTTATTGTAAAAACGAATCGATAATCTAATCTTTTATTGAGTTTGAGAATGAAAAATCAGGTACTTGTAAAAACTACGATCCCGTCTTAATGAATACGTTTTAAATAAAGTTCAGTTAAAAAACAGGTGTTTTATTTTGATATATTATTATATACAAGTTAAACCCGGCTTCGCTGTAACTCGTTAAATGTGAAGCATTTTCCTAAAACTATTAGCGCGCCATCTGTCTTACGTCGATAGGAATTTGACAGACTAAAAATTCAACTCTGATTATTTTGAATCACAGTAACATGGTCAGAACGATTATATATTCCACTGTCTCTTGCACTGTGAGATACTTTATTACATTAGCATTCATCTATACTATTTTTTTATTTTTTTATTGCTTAGATGGTTGGACAAGCTCACAGCCCACCTGGTGTTAAGTGGTTACTGGAGCCCATAGACATCCACAACATAAATGCGCCACCCACCTTGAGACATAAGTTCTAAGGTCTCAAGTATAGTTACAACGGCTGCCCCACCCTTCAAACCGAAAAGCATTATTGCTTCACGGCAGAAATAGGCAGGGTAGTGGTACCCACCCGCGGGGGCGCACAAGAAGTCCTACTACCAGTAATTAGGTACGCAAATTAATATTTTTTGCGGGTTTCATTTTTATAACACGACGTTATTCCTTCACCGTGGAAATCAATCGTGAACATTTGTTGAGTACGTATTTCATTAGAAAAATTGGTACCCGCCTGAGATTCGAACACCGGTGCATCGCTTCATACGAATGCACCGGACGTCTTATCCGTTAGGCTACGAAGACTTCAAAATATATAAATCTAATGGTTTTTACGGATGTTCCGTTATAACTACTGAACCATACATCCGAATGACTTGAAACTTGGTATCCATGTAGAAAATACATGTACTTAATGGATAGACTAATATTTATACGAGTGATGGACTCCCTATACCAGTTGCGGGGGCGTTAATTATGAGAATCTTTTTGGGGGTGAGAAATAATAATGTAATTACGTAAATAAATAGAAAATTAAACAAAACCATTAACATTAAAATTTTATTTAAGAAAAACGCTATCTTGTTACTATCGCAAATATATGTATGGAATACATTCGTAATTTGGATACATTTACATTATTCTTACAAAATCTTACGCCAATACCGCGTCTATAAAATTGTATAAAACATCGGACACGTTACTATGTATTTTCAAAACAATGTCACTGTTTAAATACTACATTAGGTTGCTCATTAGTTAACTACCATTTTAAGTACCTAGACGGCAGTAGTGTAACAATATAATTAACATTACTATCACATCTGAGCCTTGTCAACGTACCAAAGACTGTTTAACCCCAGTTCAAACATTTTATTGCACTTTTTTTCTGTGCATGTGGTATATTAGATATACACGCATTTAAGGTAAGATCAAATATTCGCACGCTCCGATATAGTGTACTGAAAATAAAACTAAACATTTTCTGTCGACTAAGCGTTGATCTCTAAGGTGAAGTTAATTTAATATGAAATAAACAATTTTCTATTTAATTTTACATTGATAACCAAATAGTTACTGACCAAGCTATGCAACATGTTCGCGGTACCTTGAAATTACAGTAATTTAGGTTTTTTTTTAAATATTACCCTTGATAAAAAGTTCCCATTAAAAATTGAATTGCAATCATTCGAATGAGAATAGAAGTTTAGGCCGTATTTAGCACGGTAAAAGGGATCTTTGAATCTTAATGGTAAAGATCAAACTATTATTAAATGATTTGAACGTTAAACATAATAAAATCAAAATATTGTTGATGTCAGAAATGGTTCGTGTCAGTTCGTCGAATCCTTAGTGGCTTAGTGGCTATACAATTCTTTTTTTTTTAAATCAAATGAAATTAACATTATTAAATTACTCATTTAAAAATTAAATTATCAAAATAAAAATTCCAACTTTTTAGTTTTCACGGTCTGCTTGTATTGCTATCGAGTATTTGAATGTTATTTATGTTCACTGTAAATTCTGTTAGCAATCTTCTTCATACAAATCATTTTAATATAGGTTACTATCAGGCATAACATACAGATTGTATCAACAATAGTGTTTAGTGAAATAACAGCTGACTTGTTATAGGTCACTTTAAAATTAAAATATTCCAAATTACTTGATAATAGTATGTCGAAATATGCCTCTAAACGATACATTCCCACAACGGTGTTATTCGATATCTTTAAATCGTATAATTAGAAAATGTATTTTAATCCACTTCCACACTTCATTTTTTTCGCATCAAAATAAAATATTTTTTTAAATTCGGTTCAGTGATTTCTCTGTAATGGAATAGACTCAGACGTGACAGTAACGCAATAGTCAACCACAACATCTAATTCTTTAACTTAACTATTACTCCAAACTTCCTACACTAAGGCCTCGATAATCTAAATATTGCATTATGATAGTTAACAACTTTAGCTAATTGGGTGTAGCGAGATGAAAACTCTTTTTTGTCATTTTCGAACTTAAGTAGTAAATAAGTTAATAAAATGTATGCCTTCTCTTCATTTTTATTTTGNGCAATAGTCAACCACAACATCTAATTCTTTAACTTAACTATTACTCCAAACTTCCTACACTAAGGCCTCGATAATCTAAATATTGCATTATGATAGTTAACAACTTTAGCTAATTGGGTGTAGCGAGATGAAAACTCTTTTTTGTCATTTTCGAACTTAAGTAGTAAATAAGTTAATAAAATGTATGCCTTCTCTTCATTTTTATTTTGAAATCGGTTAAAACGCAACATATTTCCTGACGCAGCCGTTTTTTTTCTACAAAAATCGTGATAAGATTACTAATGATAGTATTTAATGATAATATTTAATGATATAATTTTCCTTTTACACGAAACTATATAAAAATAACACGAACAAAGTTAAAACGGAAAAAAAAAAACATTATGTATATTTATCATCTAAGTAGCTGTGAAGCATTTAATCAAACTTTAAATAATATAATTATGTACAGTGAGATTTTTTAATAGAGAATGATTACTGTTTTCATAGAATACAGATCGACCAGTGTTCTTAAGCCTTAATTAACTAACCAACTGTCATATTAGGTATTTTATAAATTATCTATTACATTTTGTATTACGTATGTTACATTACGTTCAGTGTGCTTAGTGCGAATTTCTAACGTTGGGACAGCGCCCCTAGCGGTACACGTAGGCAAACCTTCCAACTCCATACACATTTCAGTTAACTTTTACGTTATCGAGAACGTTAGAAAACGCACACAGGACTTTCAAAGTAAATATTCCCTGGCAGTGTCAAAGTTACATCACAATCATATGAACAGTTTAGGAACGCATATAGGCCAAACATTCGATTTGTATTTAATTAAAGATAGATTTTCTATTCACCTATCCAAAGGAAAATATTTTTTTGACGTCATCACGGGCAATTTTAGAAGATTATTTATTCTTTATCAAAATTTAAGCGTTATTAATACACTTAATACGTTTTTTTTAATTTTTTTATTGCCCTTGTAGGCAGACGCACGGCCCACCTGATAGTGAGTGGTTACCGTCGCCCATGGACTTCAGCGATGCCAGGGGCAGAGCCAAGCCGCTGCCTACCGCTTAATACTCTCTACAAGCCTCGTTTGAAGAAGGACATGTCAGAGCGCTCATAACATATATTATGTACATCGTGATGGAACAACCATGAGAACGTGGTTGTCGTTGTTTAACTACATACATAAATCTGAAGTCTCGCGTACGGGTCTACTTTTGTAACCGAAATGCGTTATTACTGCAGAAATAGATTGTAGGCCTTGTCCACCAGCACTTCGGAAGGAGCCAAAGGAGCTTGTGGAGGTAAAACACAGGATGACTGATAAGATTGTACATTTTGTTCTTTAAAGCATGAACTGCACTGTGATGGTGGGTGGAGCTGGAAAAATGGGGATGATGGGATTATCGTAAATAGCTCCTCTGAACACTGCCCACGAATCATACGGTACGCAATACACTGGGAGCCGTAATTCCTACGTGTAGACCCAGAGGTTCAAAACGATATTTTATCCTAAAAATTAACGTCACCAAAGACTCTTGAAACTCCAAAATGCGGTAACATTGTTAATAAAAATAAATAATTAAGCAATTTTAATCACTGGTGTGTAAGTAAACATGTAGTTGGATCTACACATTCGGTTTCATAAAACTACGGCTGACAATAACATTTATAATATTACTTCAAGTCTATTGCAACACATTTTTTAATTAGGTTTATCCTAAATTATTTAAGCATCGTGTTAAAACCACAAAAGTTTAGTGCAAAATGGGCGTTAAGATTTTTATAAAAAGGAACATTTTCAAATGAAATCTCCAGCCGATAAAACTTCTAACGGCCCTTTGTTATTGATAGTTTTAGAAGCTCATTTGAAATCAGGGTATTTTGGTTCCATGAGATGTTTTTCAGATAAAAAAATATCCCGATTTCCATTGAAAAACTATTTTATCGTCCATCCCACACGAAACGGAACGTAACGTATGACTAGACGTTACCGACGCATTAAATCGTGCTTTTAAAATTATACGAAGCCCTGATTCAAGCGAATGTATGATACAAAATATATTACGAAACACTTTATACTAAACAATTCTGATAATTTACAATGAGTCACGATGTATTAAATAAAATATTCAAAAAAAAAAAAGTACTATACGGAAAAAAGGTTGGATAAGAACACTGATTCTCAATTTATGTTTAATAAAGCTAATGATAAAATTTAAAACAATGCGTTTTATCAATCAAACCGATACGGTATCACAGAAATTAAGCGTGCTCAGCAACAGCATAAGCTATGACACTATTAATTACAATGAACTAAAACTTTAACAGTTACAATACTAAAATAGAAAATTCACTCACTCACAATCAATATTGCTTAAATAAAATTTAGGCACCACGGTTGATTTGTAACGTGCAAGCGAACGATAACGAAGAAACGTTTTAAATGATCATAATATAATATACGTTTTGATCTTGCTTGTTTATTATTTTCATATAGTTATATCCGACGTGTCTAATACTTCGCAGTTCTCGTCGTCTCGAGCAAGTGACGGTCAGTCGCGTTAATACCTCGCGAAAACCAGTGACAGATTTAGGCTTAATGCCGCCTTAGGGGCCTCGCCCGAGGCGACTTTTTGTAGCGATGCTACTATCGCGCTTTAATCGCATTTGTAACGTTCGCTGCAAACGCGCGGCTGTAGCGATACTATTCGATACACATGCGCGACAACATCGCGACTGTATCGCTGCAAACGCGTACAAACATTTCTGTGTAGATTCTGAATCGCGTTTGCGTCGCGATTGAAGCGCGACAGCATCGCGATAGTAGTGATACAGAATTTGGGCGATGTTACACATCCAGCGGCAGCATCGCGGCTGTATCGATGAGAACGTGCGATAGCATCGCTACAAAAAGTCGCCGCGGGCGAGGGCTCTTAGACCCGTGTTTATCGCGCCACCCATGTTAGAATAAACTTTATAAATTGTGATCTAATATTTTTATTTCAAATTTGAAATAACATTACATATTTTTTTAGAAAAATTAATCTGAACTCAGTTTCAAAGGAGACTGACTATATTTTTTTTTGCCTCTGAAATTTTGGCATTTCAAAAATGTTGCCGCCCTAGACGTTAATCCATCACTGGCGAAAACCGAAGTTAAATACTATACGATCACATAAAAATTAATTGTTTGTTAAACAAAAATGCACACACAATACCAGTTACAATATAATAATACATTTGTCGTTTAGTTAAATAATAATTGTCTGACAATGAAAAAATATAATCTCACTAAATACATCACATTTTTCAATGTAGGTATCTAAACTAAAAATAATACAAAATGAACGACAGCACAGCATTTTTTTTGTATCTGTTTTTTTTTTAAATTCACTAATCTATGCACGAATGGAAAATTAGTTGTCGTCGTATATGCCTTGGTCGTCTCCGTTGACGGCGGCCGCGGCGACCATGTGAGTGAACGGCCAATTGTAAATAGACTGCAACGGTACGTGCAACAACTCGACCAAGTACCGATAGTTTGGCTCTGAAAACATTTGTTTCACGGTACCGAATCTGAGATTGGTTAGTTTCCACGTGTATCTGGCAACTGGACGGAGTCATGGGTTTTTGAAGTGAAACTTCTAATGCGACTTCCAACAAGGTTGCGTTAAACATGTAACGCTACCATACTAGAAAGGGGCAAAGCGAGAGTCAATGCGTGGCACTCGAACGGATGCGCGTAGTATAACTGTTACAGGCCAGCGCGAGCGTTAGCAACGAGTAGCGTCCATATTCCAATGAATTATTTAAAAAATATATATATTTATTTTTCAATCTATAATTTAATATAAATGTTGAAGATGTCGCATTCCTTATCACAAGAGCAGTCTGATTTAAGGATGAAAAATGAGGAAAACCACAATACTACATAATAATATCGAAAAAGAAGTTTCACTTCATTCACGTGCGCCAAGTTGCACGCGCACCGTTTTTTAATTTTAACCCTCTCGCTACGCAGACCTCGCTGCAAAATGTTTCGCAGGAAACGGACCTCCGTGCTAAAAGTGCGCTAATCACTTATCGTTTATAGGCGGTATTTTTCAGTCGGCGATTATTGTCGCCTATTGTGTACAGGTAACGTTTTGACTATAGTCACCGATAGTAGCGAAAGGGTTAAGAAGCTTGAGGCTCTAATTTATAAGCAATTTTTTTAAGAACCAAGCTTGGCGATACCTTTAGCTTGTGCCAACATTTCCACAATATTTTGCAAGAATGAATTTTCAGATATCTTGGATCTTTGAACATTTTTTTTCGTACATATTCTAGTAACCTTGGGGGGTTATTCTAGATTCACCAAAATAATAGGTGAACTCGCGGGTTTCAAACCTGACGATATTGCTAACACGAACCCTAACAAGAGCCGTGCTTCGCAGAATCTACCACCGGATCGGAAACGCAACCCACTGAGAAGATCCAGCGAGAAACTCAGTGGGCTGTGTCTGTGGGTTAATTTACTCGTCGAGCCCTTCGTTGCAAGCGACAAGTTCGACGAGGACGATGACGGGTGCTTGAGGTACCTAAAAACACCGTTAATGGATAGGGAGGATCCAAAATGACGTGTTTTGGGCGACGTCGACTGTTTACCATTGGGTCCACAGGATCGAGAATGTAGTTACCGGCGGCCACGATGAGAGGGACATTGGATCTTTGAACATTGGAGATATCAAACTTACCGTTCTCCGGATTGATATAACCTCGACGTATGAGGAAATCTATGAGTACTGGTGCACTGGTGGTCTTGAACTGAGGCGAGAGAGCTCGCTGTATACATTCCTCGGCAGTGAGCAGCTCGAAGCTCTCGACTTCGCCATCAGCGTTTTGAGGTACGAAATCCAAAGGCAGTTCAAGATCATAAACATACTCCGTGTTTGGAAACAGGCCTCGCTCGCTTTCAAAATAGAAACTGTCAACAAATTGTTAGTTAGATTCAAAATTGAATTTTAATAAATAAATATATGTACTATTCAATTATCTTCGTTTAAAAACATATATAATACTCAATTAATGGTATTAATACAACAAGGTATTCTTTAAGAAATAATCTATGCTTCTATACTAATATTATAAAGCTGAAGAATTTGTTTTTATGAACGCGCTAATCTCAAGAACTACTGGTCCGATTTGAAAAATTCTTTCAGTCTTAGATAACCCATTTATTGAGGAAGGCTATAGGCTATATAACATCACGGTAAGACCAATACAAGTGGAGCACCAATAAAGAATGTTTCAAAATAGGGGCTTAAATAGCTCTTTAACATTCTATAATTCAAAAATATTTTCACTTTCTACGTAAATGAAGTGGGGATAAAATTTAGTGTTATGCCAAAGTAACTATTTCACACGGACGAAGTCGCAGGCAAAAGCTAGTAGAGATATAGACATGGCGAAAAAAATATAGCTAACAAGGTGTGTGCGGTAAACGAAGGTCACAGATTGAATTTATAATTTAATAGTATTACTAATAAGAATTATACAGTAACACGCACGTGTGTGCGTGCGTTTGTTTGCGTGCGTGCGTGTGTTTATCAGTCTTTCGGACAACAGTAATTGCGTGTACCTATTTTAACGTAAACGTACACGTGTTTTTACACGTTTCGTTATCGTGAAATAGCAAAACAGACTCTACCGAACCTATTGCGTTGAATCACAATACGCTTCCAGATATTCTTAAGCGGGATATTAAGTAAATTAAAACGATCATTCAATCATTTTTTACTGGTGGTAGGACCACTTGTGAGTCCGCGCGGATAGGTACCACCACCCCGCCTATTTCTGCTATGAAGCAGGAATGCGTTTCGGTTTGAAGGGTGGGGCAACCGTTGTAACTATACTTGAGACCTTAGAACTTATATCTCAAGGTGGGTGGCGCATTTACTTTGTAGATGTATATGGGCTCCAGTAACCACTTAACACCAGGTGGGCTGTCAGCTCGTCCACCCAACTAAGCAATAAATAAAAAAAATCCTTAAGAAAGAGAATGTAAAGAACCATCAACAGTGCTCGTCGATTATTTTAGCTTAAATGACATCACAGGTATAGAAGTTGTGTTCAGTCAAGCGTTCTATAACTTAGGCGTCAACCACATTGGTCTCTGGGATTCCAGAATTTTTCAAATATATATACATTTTTTTCCTACCTGAGCTGATAATCTAGAGAGACCATGTCAACGTCGCTGGGCTAGTAGGTGAGCTCACAGGGATCAAACCTGATGTCACTAACACGAACCCTAGCAAGAGCCATGTTTCGCAGAATCTACCGCCGGATCGGAAACGCGACCCACTGAGAAGATCTGGCGAGAAACTCAGTGGGCTGTGTCTGTGGGTTAATTTACTCGCCGAGACCTTCGTCACAAGCGACGGGTTCAGTGAGAACGATGACCGGCAAATATAATATATAATCTATAAGCAACACTAACCACTCATTGGATGGGCTATAAATTCACCTTCGAGAGGTAGATATAAAAAAAATACTTAGCAACTATCCTATTTTAACTCAATATTAATTCACGTTAATTATTCATGACCACGTTTTACATAAAGCACTGAGTCAGATCACATTAAAGTCACATAGTAATATGTACATACGTAATTAATAAAACAGGAAGCGTTGTCTTATCCATGTGGTCTCACACACACTATTGAATATTATTTCAATACATTATAAATGGAACAATGAACGAAAAACAAAAAAGATTAACTAGACAAATGTGTCTTCAAAAATACAGCATAAACACAATCAAATTAGAAGATAACATATATTTGTTATAAAAAAAAACCCAATTTGTTCTACCTTCGCTAATAACAATCTGTTCTATTACTTTAATCGTGACGATTTTTGTTTTTTTTTTGATTAGATGGTTGGACGAGCTCACCTAATGTTAAGTTGTTACCCGCCACGCACCTTGAAATCTGAATCTAAAATCTCAGTTTTTATAGTACTATGACTGCCCCACCCTTCAAAACAAACCTCATTAGTGCTTCACGGCAGAAATAGGCAGGGTGGTGGTATCTACACGTCCGGACACCCAAGACGTTCTACCACCAGTAAAAATTAGTACTTCAATCTCATGTCTTAGTGTAATTCAGGTTTCGTATAACCACTTAATACTATGTGATTCATCTACTCCAGACCCTCTATATTCAAAGAGAAAAATTTATTGCGAAAATAAAAAACGTACCTTACACAGCCAGCTGGTACCAATTTTTTTACCAATTCTCCCTCCACAGATGCCTCTTCTGCGGCCTCTTTTATAGTTGTCTCTAGAATACCAAATCCCACCGCGAGACCACCGCTAACAAAGCAATCCCATTTACCTAATATGAAGATTGATTATGAATACAAAATTAAAATAATCTTAATTATCCCGATTTCATTAGCTTGACCTGTATGTAACACTTTAAAGGGTTTTTTCACAAATTTAAATTTATATAATTAAATTGAAAATTTGCAAGGGCAGTAATTTTAGCCCTTTGGCCTAATATGCTGACCTAGATAAAAATTAATTTAGCTTGGTTTGCTATTAAGCATTCCGTTATACATTGCTTAACTATGTCTAAAATCTCACCAGGCCATGTTTGTTTGGTAAAACTCCGCTGTTGTAACCAAATGCATAGTCCTTTACTGGGATGATTGAGATAGCCGGTGACACTGACGCCATAATTTCTAATACCAAATAGGCATATGGCACTCCTGTCCATCTCCAATAGGCTCTCTTGATAAAACGCAGTGCTGACTTCAAAACACTAAAAACAAACTCTTCAGTGAAACTAAATACTATAAATAAAAAAAATGCATAAACATATTATTATACTGTTTATCTAGTAACATCCATTTGGTCTAATCAAATACATTGAATGTTTTTTTGATTACATATTAAAGGATAAGAAAGGGTTTGTGCTTTCAAAATTTTCAGCACTTCACATCTTCAAACTTAAATCTCACTGAGATTCCAAACTTAATAATTAATGATTGTACATGGTTCATTTTATGTAAACATTTTAGGATAAGATTTCTTTAATTAATCTTTTCAGAAAATACTCCATTGGTGGTAATGTCCTTTTCGTGACTATTGTATTTTATTGTAATTTATATTTTATTGCCGTTGTACTGTTAAAAGTGAGACCTTACAGCTCATGTCTCAAGGTGGGTGGCGGAATTTATGTTATAGATGTCTATGGGCTCCGGTAACCACTTAACACCAGGTGGACCGTGAGCACGTCCACCCTTTAAGCAATAAAAAAAATAAAAAAATATATAGATTTTGTCATCAAACAATTATGTTCATTTTGCAGTGGCACCTCACACCTTTCACACAGAACACATGTTTGATGAACAGAAGAATGGTCATGCAAACCTCATATCATGCATGGCAACCCTGTAAGGTAGCAGGTGTTGACATTCAACTTGATTACATGTTTGTTCTGGATTCTTAAAACTTATTATTTCATATTCCAGCGAAGGGGCTGACTTTAGAAAAGCTTAACCCACAGACACAGCCCACTGAGTTTCACGCCGGATCTGCTCAGTGGGTCGCGTTTCCGATCCGGTGGTAGATTCTGCGAAGCACTGCTCTTTGTAGGGTCTGTGTTAGCAACTCTCCGGTTTGAGCCCCGTGAGCTCCCCTACAAATGTTAGGGTGAAGCTGAAATAGCCTCTCAAGGCTATCAGCATAGGTAAAAAAAAAAATTGTTTCACCAAACCTCATCTCTCCATCCTTTTAATGCGCATATCTCATTCTCCTTCCTCAGTTTTTGCAGGACATCAGCAACTCTTGTGGTCCTTTCTTTGTAATCTCTAAAAGCAGGATTTAATTCCACATATTTCCCGGCGATTCTGAACACCTGATTATAATCACAAGTTCAATTAAATAACAAGCTCACTCAAACTGTTCATAGCAAGTTATTGTTTTCTAGTTTTTATTACTGTAGATCAGTAGACATATTCACAGCCTACAGGGTACATGCCCATAGACTTTTCTTTCTTCAAAGAAAGTTTACAGAGAGTACTGAAAAGTAAGCAGTGATTATCCATATCCATGACAATGATGAAGTGTGTGAGCAACATTTACTATTAGATGGGTCATCTGCCTACAAGGGCAAAATAGATAATGTGAATATCACTACTCACCTTGAAATTTGAAATTGAACTCTCAAAATTGTTTAGTATAATGGCTAATCTACCAAAACAGTTATACTACGAAGAAATATTTCAAACTCACTTCTTATGATTTCTTTATAGAAGAAATTTCACATAGCACTCGAGGACAATAAAGGTATATAGCATTTATTTTTTACATAAAAAATAATTATTATAAACAACAAAAATCAGCTTATTTAGATTGACTACGTATGTATTAATAAAGATACAATCATTTTATATTACATATTACAACACCAGTTTCAAGACAAAATTAAATATGTACCCAAAGAAAAGTGATGGAGTGTATGAAATTCCTTTTCTACATTTAGACTAAAATAAATATAACAAGTATTAATAAATCTTGTGCTCTAGGGGAATTAGGTATTTGAACAACCTAATTTTTATTATGATGGCCTCTATGTTTCAAATAACATTAGCACTACTGAAAATAAAATGCGAGTTTAAATTTAAAAAAATATTAAATATAATTAAAATACATATACATTACAATATACCCCCAAAATTAAGCTAAGTCTGTTTTAGAGTTTAATTCATATGTGACACATGAACTTGGAAAGATAGTTCATTGCTAATGTTTCATGCTACATGTGAATATCTGTAAATACAGTTGACAATAAAACCATTTACTAAACATCAAAGAGTTGGAGTTCACTCACCTCTGGGAAACGCTGCAAATATTTTAAAACATCAGGTCGGACAAGACCAACTTGATGCCCAGCCACTATGAAGGGCTTACATATTCCTTGATGTAAACCTAAAATAATATTTAAGCTAGATATTTTTAAAAATTAAAAAAGCCTACTCTATTACCACATTTGTCGTGCTTCAAATTTCTTTACTTTTTACGTGCGCAACAGGAACAACGCGAGAACACATAATGAATTGGCTTTTAATATACGCGAAACTCGAATATTTGTTGGTTTACCTGAGAGGTAGAAAGAATTAAACTTGCGGGCTAGTTTTAACAAATCCGAAACGTTGTTTTGTGCTGAATTCATATCTTTCATAATTTTCTTTCATATAATAAATAGTTTCAACTTTCAATAAAGGCCGACAAATGCGAAAATATGGAAAACACACGTTCCGTTTCACATAACGTATAAACATTTGTGTCAAATAAGCTAATTGTCATTTAATTTTTTTTAAATGTATACCAATCTGTAGATTAACTATCTTTACATCAATCTACCCCAGACAATACAATATCCATTACACGATCATCGAATTCCATTTTAAATACTAAAAACAGACTTGGGCAAAATATTCCACAATTCGCTCCATGAATCTAATGCCGGCCACTCACATGCGCGCAAATATTCGTACATTGTACGAATGTTTGCGCGCATGTGAAGGGCTGTCAGGGAACATTCATTCGCAAACTTAGCGGCCTCTTATACTTGTTTACGAATGTCTCACGAATTTCCTTTTTAATTCGTCAATAGAACATTGAAGAAAAAAAGAGTTTTGAATACTTTCCCAGACATCATTAACAGCCATGCTGTTTTTATGGGATTTCTTTTGATGAAGATACGCTACACAGTAGACGTCACGATCTATGAAAATAGCGAAACGTCCGTTGCCTTCGCAATCCTGGGCGCTTAAGTGTATAATCTATGCTGGGCGCAACTGGTGGTCACACGAACGTGTGGGAGACTACGCGAAGGATCGCGGTTCGCGCACTTTGATGTCTGTTAAAAAAGCGACACAGCTTGGAAAACCACGAATGCAGCGAAAACTTTGCATAATCATTTGCAAATGTCGTCCTACACTTGCGGGTTTGCGTATTCGTGCGAATCTGACTGACCGGTATAACAGGAATAATTATTCTGCTTCCTTATTTATAAGGGCTTCTTCCTTACCTAAAACCTATATATTTTAAGTATTACAATGGACGGCCCGCCGCATCAACATCTCTATTATCAAGCTGTTAAAAATAGAAAAGACTCAACGTCTATCCACAACCTGCCTACAAAGAATATTGCGGTATTTTGGTCATGTTGCACCCAGAGATACCCGTAATTTGGAACGCCTTGTGGTGACTGGTGACCGGTAAAATCAAGGGAAAAAGGCCTAGGGGTAGAGGTCCCAAGCGATGGTCGGACCAAATAGCGGAGGAACTGAAAATACCTGTCAGCGACGCACTCCACCAAGCTACAGAACGGGATCGACGGAGACAGCAAGTTGACGGATTCGGACGTAGTCACGATCCTCAGCAATGAGGGACCGATTGAAGAGAGAGAGAGAGAGATAGATGAGGTCAGTGAAGCGTCTCCGATCGCGATTAATCCAGTCTCTGAGGGCTGGGCGAATCCCCTTCAGAATCCGCAGGCGTTTCGATCATGTGTTCAGTATGGATGGCTTCTTTGGTTGGTTTCTTCATTGCTGAAGGTTGTATCTAGCTTGAATGTTGATCACTCGATGCATTATGCTTCTTCACGTCTGTCTGTCCTCTGCTGTCTTTATAGCTTCGGTTATTGGCAGGCCGCTGAGCGTCTTTACCAGATCTGACCATCATTACTAAAGTACTGGCTATTCTAAAACTCAGAGTATACTAAAGTAATTTTCTATGTGCTAAATCAAATGATTGTCAATCAGTAAATTTCATAGAATTTAATAAGTAGCAGTGGCATAAATTGCTGACAATAGCAGCAGATTGCCAAAGAATCAATTTCAATCTATATATCCAGTACAAAGACAATATAGAGATACTTTACCTATATTATAAATAATATAATTAATTTACAAAAAAGTATTTTTATGGTATCTATGGATTTCATACAGTAGCAAAGATTACTTTTAGTCTGTTAATGTCAAAATAACTTTCAATCAAAATTTTAAAGTATTATCTATAATCAAAATCTTGAGTTGCATTGCAAAACGCTAAGGTTAGTTCGCTTTTGTAAATTAAAACATATAATACAATCTTTCTAAGTAAAAATAAAATATGTGATCACAATTTTTTTATTGATTTGCCTAGGTCGTTCTAGAAGAAATGTTCAGTTAGCTTAGATCTTCTCCTCTTCTGAAGACTTACGTAAGACATACAAATGGGGAATAAGGTGTCTGCTGAGGCTCACGTTAATATAAAAATCGGAGAGAAAGATGCGAATCCTCCACCTGAGTGCCCGATGCATAACAAAACGGAGCAGAAGCCAAAGGTTTCGGAATGTCCAGTACAACATGGAAATGATATCAATCCATTCAACATGGTAATATATATAAACAAACTGTAGTAATCTAATCTTTCAACTATTTTACGACAATTCATTATTTTATTTAACTGACACGGTGTTGTATTTGTTAACAGCCCTGACTATTGTGCCCAGTGTCGTGGGCTTGATTCCCACATGGGGCAAAAATTCGCGTGTCTATGAACAGGCTTGCTTTTTGTCTGACTGTTTATTATGGGTATATATATTTAAACATACATACATGTATCTGGTACACATAACACAGGGAAACGTAATTTAGAGCTAGATTACTGTATGTGTTTGTGATAAAAAATTGTATTATTTATCATTATTATTGTCATTATTTAGATGCCTCCGGCTAACCAACAACCTGCACCAGATCAGCCATTCACCTTGCCCACAAACCGACAAGTTTCCTCTATTCCTCGAGCAATGCCTGATGGCTCAACTGAATTCTGGGTTTATCCAAGTCAACAAATGTTTTGGAATGCTATGCTACGTAAAGGCTGGCGTTGGAAAGATGAGGATATAAAACCAAAAGACATGGACGATATAATTAGGATACATAATGCTAATAATGAACAGGTACAAAAAAGTTGTTATTATCTCACTCTGACTATAATTTAATTCAGAAGCAGCAATTCTCAAACTGGGCTATGGGGTTAATTTTACTGTGATGATTAAATGAAATATAATAATATCGATTTAATTTGAACATTAAATTCTATGTACCTATATGGAAGAATTTTATTCGAGCCCTACACCCCAGCAGAGGGTAATAGGAAAAAATGATGATGATGATATTATATATAATATAAAATCAAGGAAAACATTTTTCCCAGGCTTGGCAAGAAGTTTTGAAATGGGAAGCTTTACATGCCAAAGAGTGTGGTCATCCTAGATTGAAGAGTTTTGGAGGCAAGGCGACTCAATACAGTCCTAGAGCACGCATACGTTCTTGGCTTGGGTAAGTACTTAATGCCATTTTATATAAAAATTCTAGAGATTCCAAGCATAGTTAATTTTTTCATAAAGAATATCTATACTACAGTGGGAAGTCCAAGTATATTGCATTTATTCCATAAATATATTGTGAATGCATCACCATACCTGATTCTATTATGAAGCATTCACGCATCCCAATTTGAAAGATAGGATAACAGTCAAAAATAATAACTGGTACCAATCATGCATGGTCATCCAGTCCCAATTCAGGATTCCGTCTTATGGGTACCAGCGACTTGCAAACATACTTATATACATTTAAATTTACACATAATATATAGATAATGAACATCTAGACAACAAGGAAACATACCTGTACATCACACTATGGTTGTCTGAGGGAATCAAACCTGCAACAGTTACATAAGTACTGCACCACAGAGTCAGTAATGATAGTTATTGCAATAAAACTTTCGCTTTATGTATCAAGCGCAGTAGCTTTTATCTTGCAGTGTTTATCGACTGCAGCCAGCAAGTAAAATTTGGTGAGCTGTGAAGTTATCAATCCTGTTCTATAAAAAAATAATTCTAGATTTTTTATTTAAAGCAATTGAGAATTATTTTTTTAGTTTTTTTTTTTATTGCTTAGATGGGTGGACGAGTTCACAGCGCCTGGTGTTAAGTGGTTCCTGGAGCTCATAGACATCTACAACGTAAATGCGCCACCCACCTTGAGATATAAGTTTTAAGATCTCAAGTATAGTTACAACGGCTGCCCCACCCTTCAAACCGAAACGCGCTACTGCTTCACGGCAGAAATAGGCAGGGCGCTGGTACCTACCCGCGCGGCCTCACTAGAGGTCCTATCACCAGTAATTACGGAAATTAAAATTTTGCGGGTTTAATATTTATTACATGATGTTATTCCTTCATCGTGGAAGTCAATCATGAACATTTGTTGAGTACGTATTTCATTAGAAAAATTGGTACCTGCCTGGGATTCGAACACCGGTGCATCGCTCAACACAAATGCACCAGACGTCTTATCCTTTAGGCCACGACGACTTCAAGAGTTTAAAGAAAAAAAGCTTTTTATCAGAAGTTCTTTATAGGTATGAGTTACCATTCGACCGTCATGACTGGATTGTGGACAGATGTGGGAAGGACGTGCGTTATATCATTGATTATTACGACGGTGGTGAAGTCGATAACAAATATCAGTTTGCAATGTTGGATGTCAGGCCAGCAATAGACTCCGTTGAAAACGTTTGGGACAGAATGAAAGTAATGTACATGAGGTATAGATATGAATTGATCGGCAACAAACAAACGAAATTAAGTAACTAAACAGTTTGTTCAAAATGTAATCCTTAGATAAGTACAAACTAATGTTGATAGTTAAATTCGTAGTACCTAGTTAATATATTTTGTTGTGCAAGTATTATTTTGTGGAGTTCTTCCGTCGACATGGTTTGTCACTGCAAAAACTCTTTGTGATCATGTTTCTTTGAAGGTTTACATTTTCAGTAATTGGTTTATTCACACATAACCCGCCAATAATCTCAAGTGATAAATGATGTAATGTGAAGTAAAAAATGATATTTTCATCATTGTTAATTTACAAAAGTCACTAATTAATTAAATATTTCATTAATTCACCACTAAATGATCATATGAAAAAGTGAAATAAATTCAGATTCAAAATCATCTGTTCATTATTATAGTTAAAATGTTATTTATGAAATGATCATAAAATAAAACAAATGCAATAAAATGTAAATTATTTTTATTTAATTTTCCAAGCTTACGAGTTGACTACTAGTTACTGATCCTTTACATTCGTTTTTGAATAATTCTACTTGTTGTTCCACATATTCTTCAAAGTTGTTTAATGGACAAGAAGAGAGAACTTTGTATTTTGGTTTTCCTTTACTGCTGTGGTAAACTGATCTTAAGGTCAAAATTGGAGATTTTTCTGGAAATTGACCTGAAATATTTTTTGAAATAGTTATGATTGTATAGAATAGCAAGTTCTTTTTTTTAATAAGCACAAAAATGAATGTCTCGAATGCATTGTAAGAAGACTGCTCCGTCCTTCAAACCAGAATACAGTCATGGTTGTATCTATCCGTGCAGACTACGTGCTATGCTCACAGTATCATTTTTTTTGTAACTAAGTAATTTTGCTTAATGTGAAATTACCAAATTGTGTAATTTATAATATAAGGTTGGACTATCAAAAAAGATCTGTGTATCACACGTTTTCTGAGAAAAAAAATCCGGAACTCACCCAATTCTACTGTTAAAATCCAATGGAAGTCATTGATTTCAAATAGAAAGGCAGCACTGTTTATATCGTGTTCCAATATGGCACCTTCATATTTAACAACCAAAAATGCTAATAAATCCCTTTTCAACTTTTCATTGACAAGTACATCGTGTATCTGAAATATTGACAATTTGTAATAATCGAAATAATATTAAGACAAAAGAAATTGAGGAGTCGTACCTTTCTGTTCAGCAGTTCGGTAACCATAGGTACATAATCCATAAGAACAGTAGATGGATGCATTCTGAAATTTAAAGTTATTTCCACTTACAAAAATATATGTACAAATTTAACACACATTCAGTAATAGAGAACGGTCCTCAAAAAAAATTTTAGAGGATATTTACATTCATATTTACATAGGTACCTACTAGAGTTTTACAATTCTTCTTACTGTAATAGTCGTGAAAAACTTTGAAGTGAACTGAAGGACGACCCTCGTGAATCCGTAGCTTTACAAGCAGCGAGCTATTGCACACTTAGGTGTATGAAAGACAGACAAATCTTCAATTGCGATTCTTATAATATCAGGAGCTTCGACAACAATTCATTATATTATTCAAAGCTTACGTACTGCGGTAATGAAATGTTCCCCAGGGCTTTATTAAGAAGAGGTGATAGTATCAGTTCTGCATTTGTCGAGTTTGGATATCTCACTAGTAACAATGCTGTGTCAATGCCGGGATTCTCTTCAATGCTGTAAGTATCATGTATATTAATAGGTCCTTAATATCTATGTTAAGATAATAAAATTTGAGCTCGTAGTCCAGTACTACTAATATTTGATGTACATATATACAGGGTGTCGTAAAAGAGGTTTTTCAAGCTGAAAACTAAATAGTGCTCTACTAAAATAATCGTATCGAAGAAAAAAAGTCACCAAGTAAATAGTATCGGAATAAGGAGTACTAGAACGTAATCAACAAATTATTCTTCTGCCGACCCTTGAATTATATTTTAAACAAGTTACCTAATATGATTTGTGGGAAAANTTGATGTACATATATACAGGGTGTCGTAAAAGAGGTTTTTCAAGCTGAAAACTAAATAGTGCTCTACTAAAATAATCGTATCGAAGAAAAAAAGTCACCAAGTAAATAGTATCGGAATAAGGAGTACTAGAACGTAATCAACAAATTATTCTTCTGCCGACCCTTGAATTATATTTTAAACAAGTTACCTAATATGATTCGTGGGAAAAAATAAGGCTGGCCACATATCAAAGTGAATTTGTTTTTTTTTATTGTTTGAGTGGGTGCAGGAGCTCACAGCCCACTTGTTAAGTTGTTTCAGAAGCACATAGACTTCAACAAAGTAAATTATGCTACCTATCTTGAGACATGAGGTCCAAATCTTAATGGTATAACAGCTGTCCATTCTTCAAACCGGAGCAAAGTTTATTAGCGGCAGATGTAGGCAGGATGGTGGGAAACACCCGGGTGGATCGTAATATACGCTTACTATATACCCAATCACTAGTAAATGTCAGTTGGCGATTGCAATACGCTGGTAATACTAATAATGATAGTGAGCGCTGTTGCCCAATAAATTATCAATTGCCCAATTATCCCATAAAACCTTAGTCGCTTTCATGACACTCCCTGGAATACATGGGGTGGTCTAAGCCACACAGTTTCAAAGGTTATACAATCTTAATAAACGAAACTTTTTTTGCGTAGATAGTGAGCTCGGTTTCAAATAACATTAACTCGTAAGTAATCTTAAACAATGGCAAAAACCCAAAATAACTACAATGCCAGTAATATTATGATTATGTTACGAGTCAAGTCTCAATTTCATTATAAAAACAGTTCTGCTCTACGAATCGGAATGCATGTATTTAAAATAATACCCATCACTATAAAGCTCTGATAATCTTCCAACGTCAACATTAAGTTTTATCAAAAATTCAACGACATGTGTTCCAACCCAAACTTCGATGTTACTTTCAGAGATGAGTGAATCACCAAGTAATGCACTGTATTCAAAATAAGCCCTTGAAGAATCATCCTCACTCAGTTTTCTAATCTGAAATTGGTAATTTTTTTAATGAAATAAAAACAAATCATTGCTCTTAACAAAAATTTGTTGTTGATTGTACTCAGTAACTATGTATTATTATTAATAAGTAAGGTGTAGCGGTAGGCAGCGGCTTGGCTCTGCGCCTGCATTGCTGAAGTCCATGGGCGACGGTAACCACTCACACCGTCAGGTGGGCCGTATGCTCGTCTGCCTACAAGGGCAATAAAAAAAAAGGTGTATTATGAACCTGTATTGGTAGCCATCCGGTGCATTCGTATCTAGCGATGCAACAGTGCTCGAATCCCGCAAGCGAGTACCAATTTTTCTAATGAAATACGTACTTAACAAATCTTCACCATTGACTTCCGCGGTGAAGGAATAACATTGTGTAACAAAAATCAAATCCGCAAAATTATAATTTGCATAGTTACTGCTGGTAGGACCTCTTGTGAGTCCGCATGGGTAGGTACCACCACCCCGCCTATTTCTGCCGTGAAGCAGCAATGCCATTACAGTTTGAAGGGTAGAGTAGCCATTATAACTATACTGAGGTCTGTGACCTTAGAGCTTGTATCTCAAGATGCATAGCGCATTTACGTTGTAGATGTCTATAGGCTCCAGTAACCACTTAACACTAGGTGAGCTGTGAGCTCATCCACCAAACTAAGCAATTAAAAACAAATGCCCTGCTTGTTTCTACTGTGAAGCTCTCATGAATTCCAGTTTCAAAGGTGGGGCAGTTGTATAATTAAATTTAGCTTTGGTGTCATGTTTATGAGTTCCGTGAACCACTTAATACCAGATCAACACCAAAAGTGAGTCCATTTACCAAACTATGAATAAGTAAAAATTGCTGGGTCAAAGTCTGATATAATTTTGTATAATACACAGTATTTTAGTATTTTTGAATGTTTCAAATATATATTGTCAGAACTCCTAATCATGGCATGGCACAATTTAAATACCCAGTATGCAGCACTTAACATCGTAATTGACACTATCAAAGTTATCTAAAAAACTTTATTTTCATGCTTGTATCAATTTGGAACTCATAGTAAACACATCTTTATTTTAAAGGTGGTGGAAAAAAGTTATCAATTTTGCTTGTGTATGTACAATTACACAGCTATTTTTGAGCGTACCTGGGATTCAATTTAAGTTTTTATACAATTACATACCTGATGACTTTTGTATAGATTGACCAACTCAAATATCACATTACTCAAAGCTCTAGGATCACTTTCATTCCATTTAGCAAGACTTGGGACTTTCTCTTCAAGAAAGTTTTCATCCTCACTTATCAAAAAACTTTCATCATCAAACTTAAAGTCCGGAGCAAACCATGGTATTGATACATCAAATAATATTTCCCATTTCAATTTCTTAGAACAATAAGGTAATAGCAGACGGAATTGGCATTCCTCTCCATCAGGTAAACAAGATATTCTTTCAACATCTATTTTAGTCTTGCAGAGGCCTGTTAAATTATTCAATAACTACAATGTACTACATTAAATTATATTAAATAATTCCAGAAGTTTTTTCATTTTTGTATTTGGACAGCATTAGTACAATTGTTGTACTAGTACTAGGTGATAATTATTGATTTATTAGATCATTAATTTCAGTATAGATGCCACCACTGACCTTAAGACACGGGGCCAGTCTCAATTGAACTTTAACAAAATGTGGCAGTGATTCCACCATCTTTAGGTTGGTATTAGTAATTTGGTTGTATTTAAAATGAAAATTCATCTTGCGCAAAGTGGAATAAATGTAATTCTAAATCTCTACCTCTTATTGGCATCAATAGTATGAGTATTGAGCATATACTCAAGACATATGCATGATAAGAAACCAACTACAAGAATATAAGTGTACTTTTTCATGTTTCAAGATAAATTAGCAAATAATCACAATATCTGCTTATACACAAAAGGAAGCAAAATGCAAACAGCAAAAAAAATACTATAATTCGGGTGTACTGTTATTAATTTTGCAACAAGATAATATTCTGTTCAAGTTTTTAGGCTTACCAAGTTTTAATTCTTCACATAATGTTTGAACGTAAGGACGAAATGCTGGAGATAAATTTTTGAAATATCCAAAAGCTTCAGTTCCCATTTTTGTTTTCTTTGGCAAATCAATTTAAATTTTCTTAAATTATTATTTTCTTAATTATGATAATTTATGAAATATCCATGAATTGTCAACTTAGTATGACTTTATATTTGCTAAACTCTATTTCGAAATACCTGTAATAGCATATTTACATTAGTAGGCGTAGGAATTCCTGGTCTAACTTGACAATTTCTAAGTAGGTAGGTACGGTATCTACAGAAACATTTTTTTTGTTTTCAAATCAAAATATCTTTGTTTTTTTTTACTCCATTTCCGAAGGCAAAGGGAACAAAGACCTTAGAATGAAATCTTGTGAAAAAATTCCTTAACTAATATTAAAATTGAATAAAATGTATGATCTTGCAATGCTTGCTAACGAGTAACGCTCTCTATTCGATTAACTGAAGTCAAAACTACTGGAAGAATAGGAGAGCCACCGCTACGCGTAGTATGGGTAAAATCCGTGTCTCATCCTAATCTTTTTAAAAATGCCTTTTTCGGACCGGGAGCCGAACCTCCTACGTCCTGCGCCTAGTGGACGCGCAGGGTATGTGGGACTGAACGGTCCGCAGATGCTGGGAACTGGGAGCTGACCGCGGGCCGATGGAATTTAGTACCCTGCCCACTAAACGATTCCCCTGCACTCTCGCCTATATACCTATATAAGTGATATAATTTACAGATCATCTTCTTTTTCTTCTTCTCAATCGTGTCACTCTTGACAGAGTGATCGTGATCGTCATGTAGTGTTGGTTGTGAATGTTTTATATATATTTTATTGCTTAGATGGGTGGACGAGCTCACAGCCCACCTGGTGTTAAGTGGTTACTGGAGCCCACAGACATCTACAACGTAAATGCGCCACCCACCTCGCGATATAAGTTCTAAGGTCTCAGTATAGTTACAACGGCTAACCCACCCTTCGAACTGAAACGCATAGTAATGCAGTAGCTTCACGGCGGAAATAGGCGGACCACCCGTGCGGACTCCCAAGAGGTCCTACCACCAGTGATTACGCAAATTATAATTTTGCGGGTGTGATTTTTATTACACGATGTTATTCCTTTACTGTGGAAGTCAATCGTGAACATTTGTTGAGTACGTATTTCACTAGAAAAATTGGTACCCGCCTGCGGGATTCGAACACCGGTGCATCGCTACATACAAATGCACCGGACGTCTTATCCTTTAGGCCACGACAACTACAAAATATGTTCCATATGTTCAATTCCCTACTGTTAGTGGTTACCAAAGCTCAGACATTAATGTAAATGCCACCAACCTATAAGGATACCGTATCACCAGTAATTACAGCATAGATAAGACATTGATTAGACTATCACAGTGAAGCATTAAATGCCCACTAACACTGTTAACACCTTTTAAGATCTAGAATACCAGTAGACTATGTTAATGTGTGTACAATTTCCTTCAGTGAAATGTAATATAATGATTAAATTTTTTATTACAATAATAACATTAAACCTATGAAGAGCTACAACAAATTGATTAATTTATCACTAAAGTTCTTATTTTACTTTTTTATATATTTGAGGTATTTTTTTGCATTGAAACTATCTCCTAAATCTTCAGTAATCTTGACCTTCTTCTTGGGCTTTCGTTTCTCCAGCCGTGCTTTTCTTTCATCTTCAGACAACAATGATAAATCTAATGGCAACTGCAACATGAAACAATTTAAATTAATTTTCACATACATCTGATGATGCAAATAAGAATATGAAATTTATTTTCTTTGAAATATTTAGGAAAGCCAACATTAGTGCCAAAAAAATGGAGTAACTTTCATATATATTTTTTTAAACCCCAAATTCATTTTATTTTATCTTTCTATAGCACCAGATATTTACTTATATTATTTTATTAAAACTTTAAAGAGATGTGCAAATTTAACAACACACATATTCCACAACATAGTATTATGAAAATATTTGGTTTATTAGTGCTTGGAATTGTTCAAGATTTTATCCATAATTTACTTTTGGCCTCACACCACCAGCCAGAATGACCTGAAGTGATGTCAGGGGCAAGCATAAGACAGGTTCAAGTGGAGACAGCTTGTGAGGGCCCTATGAACCAGCAGGTACCTTAGGACTGCAATGACAACAACAGCCACCAACCACCTGAGAATATTTTATCTATTCAGAATAGTTCATGTATTAGAATTACTGTAGTCATCAATGCATTTCCGGAGACCTTTATTGCCACTTTGCAATTTCCTCCAGTGTTTTCTGAGTGCTATGACATGTCCTTGCTCAAGATGTGGCTCCAGATGAGTACTCAGCAATAGGTAGTGGCTTGGTGAACCATTCACCTTGTTTGCACAAAAAACATTTCAATTTCAAAGCTACTTTCAAAGAGAGGGTTAAAAAAGTAACAGTGTACACCACAGTTTGTTAACCTTTGTTGGGAGTTGTCTTGGATTTTTTAAACCCTTTTATCTCTATACACACACACACACACACACATTTTGGAGTATTTAATAAACTTTACAACTAGGTATAAATGAAGATTATAAATATCAGTATTAATAACCTTAATAATTTTCCTAGGTTCATGATACCGAACGTTTATTGTTGATCCATCCGGCAAAGCAATTGTTGTAGGGTAGTACATTCGAGAGTAAACTTCCCTGTGGATCTTCGTTATACAAGCAATGTTGTTATTAAGGTATCTCTTTGTTAAAGAGTTTATTAACGCGCCTTTATAATTTGACAATAATTTGCAAATCATTTTTATAATTTACGAATAGTGTAAGTTTTTTCAAATAGAATGCAGTTATCATAAATGTAATATTATCGTAATAAATAAAATTTGCGCAAAAATTTCCTATACGCATCCACTTCACTGACTGATGTAAGTGATTTTTTCTAAAGGATTTTATAACCTGGTAACTAAGACTTTGAAGTCGTCCTATTTTAATTTAAACCATGTTTCATAATAATCAACTTCATTTAATTTCTTAGTATCACTGTTCATTTAAAAAAAAAACATCAAAATTAAAATAAGACTTGACCTAAAAGTCTTAGTTACCAGGTCATAAAATTCCTTAAAAAAATTAAAGTGCTAATCTGTTTTTTTTAAGAGATTTTATGACCTGGTAACTGAGACCTTTAAGTCATGTCTTATTTTAATCTAAATTATTCATATTTTTATGAAAAATGATATTATGGAGTGAAATGAAATGAAGATGATTAATTTGAGACACTAATCAACTGGGATGAAATTAAATGAAATGAATTGAGATGATATGGGATGAAATATAATCTCAGTAAAATGGTGGTCATTTACTAAGATTTTTTCAGTGGACTTTTTGGAGGATCTCGAGAAGTTACGTCCAGCGGCTTTGTTTCATTTTCCCACATTTGTGCACTTTCACAGGTATCAAACAGTTAATAAACCACCATTATTACACATTTAAACCCGAAGAAACACTAAATAGACAAAATAAAACAAATCATACAACTTCACTCCTCGCGTTCCCGCCAAAAAGTCAGTGCTAATCTGTTTTTTTTTTTAAGTGATTTTGTGACCTGGTAACTAAGACCTTTAAGTCATGTCTTATTTTAGTTTATATTCTTATTTTTATGAAAAATGATAATATGGAGTGAAATGAAATGAAAATGATTAATTTGAGACGTTAATCAACTGGGATGAAATTAAATGAAATGAGATGATATGGAATGAAATAGAATCTTAGTAAAATGGTGGTCATTTACTAAGATTTTTTCAGTGGACTTTTTGGAGGATCCCGAGAAGTTGCGTCCAGCGGCTTTGTTTCATTTTCCCACATTTGTGCACTTTCACAGATATTAAACAGTTAATAAACCACCGTTATTACACATTTAAACCTGAAGAAACACTAAATAGACAAAATAAAACAAATCACACAACTTCACTCCTCGCGTTCCCGCCAAAAAGTCGTGCTAATCTGTGATTTGTTTGAAGCATAGATTATACACTTAATATATGTTTGAAGCAAATTGCATCTAACAAACAATTTTGTTTACAAATTTCCAAGTTTTGGGAATAAAATGGGTTGTACTCAAAGTGAAATATCACCTCAATCAACACCTCATGAGACACCCAAGAAAGGCTGCACTGATGTTCTGTGGCTAGTTATTTACATCGTGTTTTGGATATTGATGGTATTTATGACTAAAAAATGTTTAAAATTATTTGCGGTTTAAGTTTTCCCAAAGTTCAAGCCTGAATAATATTTTATTTCAGCTCATTGTGGCGTGTATTTCATTTATTTATGGAAACCCTCAGAGACTGATAAATGGATTTGATTCTTTCGGGAATACATGTGGCGTTAAAAGCAACAAGCAACTTATGAACAATTCGCTTTCTGGTATTAACACTTTGGATAAAAAATACCTATTTTTCATGGACGTGAAAGAACTACGAAAGTCCTTAAAAATTTGTGTAAAGGAGTGTCCCAACAAAAAAATAGAATCTTTGGATGATATCAAACAGTTTTACCGTCAAACTGGTTCAAACCTATGCAACTATCCTGTTAATGTAAACACACTACCGAATTCGGCAGAATTACATAATTATTATGGACCTTGTCCAACATTGCCTGTTTATGAGTCTTTTCCGCTGTTGAACAGATGCTTTCCTAAAAAAGCTCAAGATATAGCCACAAAAGTATTCAAAGACTTTTATGAGTTGCTTAACAGTTGGGATACTATTGAACAAATGCTATCAGATCTGTATTCATCCTGGAAAGAAATGATAATATGCATTATCGTAGCATTTTGTAAGTATTTTAAACACTTTCTGAACTACTTTAGCTAAAGGAAGAATATCATTAGTTTAAATTCATTTTAATCTGACTGACCTTAACTAACATATGTGTGGGAGTCCTTGGGAATTGACTCAGCATAATGATGTCACCCTTAGTTGAGTGAATTTGAAATAGGCATTAGTCACTTTATAGTGAAACCTAAAATATAGAATTGTTTAATAGCATTTAGAATTGGTGAAATAAAAAATCATAAAATGTAGATGGCTCAATCATTTAGTGAATTCTTAATATGTTTTTTTTTTACACATTTTTTTTTTCTTTATTCTTTATTGTACACACAGCTAATCTTACAGTAATTGCGATAAGATATAAGAAAATTTTGAGCTGGCTTAACTCAACACAAATGGTTATTTAATTGATACTTATTGTCCTATTATAATTGATATATAAAAAAATAATCTCTTATATATATGGTGGTTGGGCTGGTTCCATGGCATTTTTAAAATGATGACATCAGAGTTGCTGACTCCATTCTCTTAATCATTATCATTGCCTTCCATAGTGACAGTAATTAAAACTCACATTTTCGTTGAATTCCATTTATTCCATTTCAAGTGCATAGCGATAACAAGAGAGAAGAGACTAGGACCATTTACTGTGGCAATCCTTGGGGTAGGCCTATATCAAGTGGGTGCAGTCGATGGGCTCCCATGTAGTGGCACACCCTGACCCACAACAACGTTGCGGCGTTTCGATGTCCGCAGCGCGCTATTGCGGTCAGGGCGGTTCTCGGATACCGTAACGTCTCGTTGGAGGCGGCGTGCGTGCTCGCTGGGGCGCCTGCCTGGGACCTGGAAGCGGAGGTGCTTGCTGCGGATTACGCGTGGCGATGCGATCTCCGCTCCAGAGGGGAGCCGCGACCCCGTGCGGCTGAGAACGATCGTTGTTTCGGCCGCTACCTGCACCGAAGTGCCACCACTGCAGTGGCTGCAAAGAAGACACGGCGGAGCCCACGCTCCCGTACTGCCCTACTTTCGCAGAGCAGCGCCGCGTTGCAAAAATAGGACCGAATTTGTTGCTTCCAATCGTCGTGGCTACGATACTCGGCAGCGACGAGTCCACCATCTCGCAAAAGGAGGCGGCGTAACAGGAGAGGGAGAGCTCTTCTTTCCTCTCGGCGCCGAGCCAGAGGTCGGAGGAGAGCGTTTGTCCAGCTCCGGCCCCTGTGAGGAGGCAGTCTCCTCCCGGTGATGGTCACGGAGCGACTTGAGGGGGTTTAGGCTGCGCCGCACGCTATCGTCACTCTAGCGCACTGGCACTAGGAGGACGGGACGACGCGTCGGCGGCTGCGGCCTGCGATGCGGTCCACATTGTCGTCGCCGGACGTTCTGTGGAAGAGCAACCCGGTCGGCGGTGTATCGCGTTCCGACCCGGCAGACTTGTTCTGGCCCAGCGGGCTATCCTGGAACACCAACGGCATCGCCCGGGCCGCCTTGGTAGCGCCGCTGTACCGCGGATACCGGCATCGTTGGTCGTCGACTATCGCCTTGACGACCCGTTGGTCGGGCGTCCACGGGTTGGGGCCGCGTGTCTGTCTGGTTGTAATGCTGACCGCGGGAACCCCTCTACTCTGACTGGGTTCTGACCCCGGACGGAGATCGGACGTCTCGTGTAAGAGTGCAGGGGAGTCGTTTAGTGCGGTAGAGTCCTAAAACTCCTTGGGCTCGCGGTCTGCTCCCAACACCTGCAGATCGTCAAGACCCACCTACCCCGCGCGCCCCTTAGGCGCGGGGACCTCGTAGGAGTTTCGGCCTCGGGCCCGAAAAAAAAGGACCTATATCAAGGGGACATAGGTGTTCTGATGATGATGATGATGATGATGAACTTCATATATTGATATATCAAAAACACACACATGCCTAAACCACTGTTGTTATAACAATAACAAAAAAACAAACAACAACAATAACTGTTGTTATTGCAATTTAATGCAAATGGATAATTAAGAGGTCATATCCCCGTTACTTAGTAAGTCATGATTAGTAGTATGTAGTATGATTAAAAGAAATATTTCTGTAAACTAAGCGCAGGTGGGAAAATTAGTTAATGAAGATTGATAATACTAAATGGATTATCAAGCTAGTGCTTACTTTACTACCTACGCAATTAAGAATAATGAAAATAAATTTTCATTGACTTTTTCAGTATGCTCATTGTTGATGGTGTCAATTCTTCACTTACTAGCCACTTTCGTGTCATGGATATTTATGATAATAGTATCAATAGTAAGCGTAGCCGGAACAGCCCTGCTTTGGTATACTTATCACGAACTAAGGACTAAACAAAGAAGCTTTGATGGCAGTTTCCTGGCTGTAAGTATAATTTATATGTAATCTTACTGGAATAACAATACAATTGATATTGACATTGTCCATCAATGTAGAGCTACCTCTGTAGACAGACAAGCATACCTTATGATAAGTGGTCACAGTTGTGCATGGATATCAGCAATGCTGCAAATCACCAACTTGTCCGAAGACTATATAAACATCTTTGAAGAAAGATGTGTCATAGAGTTCAGAAGATACCATGTGAGGGAAACTAGGTGGTATGTGGTAAAAAATATATCTGGAAATGCACTGTAGGGAACAAAGTGATCTAGGTAGTAGTAGTAGTAGTAAGATAACTTGATTATCTCAAATAATTACTCAGAGCAGTTCCCATTAAACTACATTAAGTATACAAGACAGAGAGAACCAAACTCTCTTCATAGACCCAGAGGTGAGGACGGGATTATTATCGACAAAACAAACAGCCTCTTTTGCATAGATTCAAATGGAAAAACCACTATTTGCTTTTTTACGACAGAATAGTAAAAACTTACAAATTAAGGAGGCGAGTAAACATGCTCACCCCGACTATTCATTATTACAGGAATCATTGAAGAATGAAAAAGCATTTCTTTGGTATTCTATAATTGCAACAGTTATAACTGTAAGTATGTGCTAATTTTACTATGAAATCTCAATAGTCCCTCTTAAGAACCAAGTTAAACTTATTAAAATTATGTAAAATAAATAAAAATATGCTAATAAAATTAATAACTTATACTCAATGTAAACAAATAATGGACCAAATAATTTATATTTAGAAAGTTCTATTTGAAATCATTAAATACGTGTCCTATGACGAGAATACAAATATGTTGTTAACTTAATTTACTTATTAATCACTCACTTTATAGTGTTACGATATATTCGTTATAGCTATTGCAGGATAGCCGTCGGAGCCCCGTGGTTCGTCAGGAACATCGACCTGCACGACGACCTGGCCCTAGAGTCCATAAGTAAGTAACTTGACGACGTTGCTAACACGAACCCTAGCAAGAGCCGTGCTTCGCAGAATCTACCACCGGATCGGAAACGCGATCCACTGAGAAGATCCGGCGAGAAACTCAGTGGGCTGTGTCTGAGCGTTAATTTACTAGTCGAGCCCTTCGTCGCAAGCGACGGGTTTGACGAGAACGATGACCGGAGTTTACTGAGTCCATAGACATCACAACGCGAATGAATTCGCGTCACGGAAGGAATTTGAAACCCTTAATTTAAAAATTTTATTTGATTCTAGGTGATTTTGTTATTGCTCGTTTGGGTGATGCGTTCGCGAGTTTCGTTCCTCGCGGCTCTGTTTCGAGAGACAGCTCACTGTCTTGGCTCGATACCAGCATTATTTCTGCAACCAATCATTACTTTCCTATTTCTTGTAGTGTTCTTTGCATTCTGGTCTACGGTTGTGGTAAGTTAAATTTCATTACTAAGGATATTTTAAACACGAATGTATTAGAGACAATATTTAGTTCAGTTAAAAGAGACTAGTACTCTAACCCGGTTTTGATAATCTTTTAAAATCATAGTACAAATTCATTGAGGATTACATTAAATCTAAAGCTTTCATATGATGCAAAATGGTACAATTATTGCTTACTGAACAATATAAACAATATGATTTAAATTTAGAAAAAAAACTTCGACTTATTATTATGTCTATGGGATATATTGTGCAAGTGTACCATACTCTGTGTACACATCAAGTGTACTGCTCATCTGCTTACCTAGAGCAATATCGCAAGTATGGAGGGTAGAGGTAAGGAGAACCGTCTCATATGGGAGAAGCTTGAAAAAGTATCCCACTTTCAGCACTAAATAACAGTTCAAAAATCCTCCAGAATGGCGCTGGCATAGGCACAGATGATGTGAATTGAGCAGTTGTTAACTGATTGAAGTATGCTGAGTTAGGAAATTTAATATATTTAATGACTAGAGTAGTTAATAACAGTGTAATATACAAGACCTCACATGTTTATGTAGTCCAAACTAATTTCGTCAATGTAACCTAAAATTATTGCTTTTCTAAAACGTGGAGACATCGATTGCATTTACTTATCAACTTTAAATAAAATACTTTTCGTGATTTTGTAGTGTTACAATTCTTTCGTCCTTTTTTATTTTTCTTATCTTATTCTAATAACTTTCAGCGCCTTTTTTTAAATTTACCCGGTTGCTACTGTAGCGCCACCCTTATTTAGCAGATTTTAACGGACACTTTTCACAACAGAGACGTTTCTCGTTACCTCTACCCTACATAATGGCAAGCAATAGAGTAAAATATATACATATTTATAAATAAAAAATATAGCAATGGAGCAATTTAGCATTGCTGACGTCCATGACCGACGATAACCACTCACCATCACGCGGGCCGTATGCTCGTCTGCCTACTAAGTCAATAAAAAAACGAATAGTATATCAAAATAATCACCAATGTATTTCTAGGTTTGTTTAGCTACAGCTAATTATCCTGGGATTCCGTTTATGTCAAATTTCTTTGTCAACGAAACAGCAAATAACATTTATCAAAGTGGTAGACCTGCAGAAGCTCTTAACGGTATTTCAAAAGGTAAATTTTATTATTCACATTACAAAAAATCTGTTAGAAATGGTTTATTAAGATTCTTCTAAATCACAGTAAAACAAAATTTTATTTTATATTTGTATTGTATTTAGGCATCTTACATGTTTTGATTCAAAATGTTTTGCTTACCAAGAAAAAAAACCCGGTAGTAATATTTATTATATACTAGCTGACCCGGCAGACTTCGTAGTGCCTCAATCGATAAAGAAAAGACCTAAACTTTTGTATAAAATAAACTTAAAACAAACAAAAGGAATCTGTCTGAGGGGGGGGACATCAAAGAAAAAACAAAATTGTTATTTTTATTTAATTCCGAATATTTTCATTCATTTATCTACCTTTTAAACCTTCTCTGGACTTCCACAAATAATTCAAGACCAAAAATAGCCAAATCGGTCCAGCCATTCTCGAGTTTTAGCGAGACTAACGAACAGCAATTAATTTTTATATATATAGATATTTTTCTCTGTTGTTATTATATGTACATTGATAAAGTTCATATCTCATGAATATCGTTTTATCGTTTTTACTAAGGGTACTTTATTATTCACAGATACTTTCAAATCAATTGAATTCAGCCCGATGTGGATACACAGCATGTGGTGGATGTGTCTTATATCTTTAATCTGGGGCAGTGAGTTCATACTTGGTTGTCAGCAGATGACCATAGCAGGGGCTGTTTCACATTGGTATTTCAGGTCAGGATGAATTATTTAGTAAAACCTAGTAAATATATTCTTTGGGATTTAATGATACAAAAAAATAAATATATTATATATTTATTGATTTAGTTTAATTTAAGAACACATGACCGCTATATCTACACCTTAATAAATGCCTAATAAAGATTTTTGGTTAATGTTAAATTTAAATATTAAACATGATGATGAAATGAAAAATTAGTAGAACAGAAGAAGATGAAACAATTTCAGATCGCTATTTTCAAACTGAAGCTTGCAGTGGTGGTCTGTGGAACTTGTTTCTAGGGTGGTTAGTAAGTTTTATCGAACTGGCAGTGACCACAGATGTCCCACCCATCTTGACTATACCCTTACGTTTTGAACTGATGCTCAAAGACTGGTGATCGCCTACCACCAGAAGCTTGTCATCCGTTCCTTTTAAAATACAGTTTCTAATAATTGTTGATTAATACATATTTTTTGTTACAGGGGGGAAAACTCACATCCATCACCCGTCCTATATTCCATAGGAAAACTGTTGAAATACCATTTGGGATCTGTGGCGAAAGGATCGTTTCTGATTACGCTATTCAAAATACCAAGGCTTATATTGACATATTTGCATGCCAAGTAAGTGTAATTTTTTATTTTGACTAGTTAAATATGAGCCTGTAAGCAATGAATAAGGGGTATGTAAATTATTTTCAAACGGCATTTACGTTTTTAAATACGTATTTTATTTCGCCTAAAAAAATACTATAAGTAAAACTTTCGAGGAAGACTGCATAGGATAATAATATAATGACTCAAGTGAATTAAACGAAATAATTCTAAGTGATTTGCATATAGATCAAAAATTTATAATTCTGTCTAAATTATTTCTGACTCTTAAACAGCTAATCTAGCACTTAAGCATACATAAAAAAAAAAAAAACTCTTTTTTACTACAGGCTGTCAGCGAGTGCTGATAAAGGATCCGAATGTGCGAAATGCGGTTTGAAATGCGGCATCTGCTGCTTCTATTGCCTGGAAAAGTTCATACGATATCTGAATCATAACGCATACACTATTATTGCGATCGAGAGATGTCACTTCTGCAAAGCTGCCGGCAAGGTAAACGAAAACAACTTGAATATACTAAACTTAGAAATAATCTATACTTAAAATTAGAAATGTGAAGCTGTGGTTGCATTGACATTTTAAAGTAATAGTATTAGGTCAGGTGAGTCACTATGTCAAAAAAAGAAATCTCTGTTATGACACTTTTCCTTGACCACGCAGGCAAAGCTGAGGACAACAGCTAGTGTTACGTAAAGATTCTAATAATCTTCTATGAAATGTCTAACTAAAACGAATTATGATTATTAGCTGAAAATGGTCATTTAAATTTATTTATTAGATTAGATTATTAGAAACAAAATTCCAGCTTGGCTACTTGTAAATATAGTAGATGGGACATTGCTCCTTCCAACATATTGTACTCTTAGAATGTTACGGGCTTACAATACTCCACGACGACCTCATAACACTAGTTTGGTCGTAATCTCTGTGTGCTAGAGTTGGAACAGCGCCCCTAGCGGCAAAAGAAGGGAAGCTGTTCCGTACAAATTTGAGTTAACTTTTACGCGATCGAGAAGTTAAAAGAACTCTCACTAAGCACACCCAATTATTATAATAGTACAATTGACTATCACTAAAACTCAGTGGTGGATTAACACTAGGGGCAGTCGGGGCAAGTGTCCAGGGCGGCACATTTTTTTAGGGCGGCAAGATTTTGAAAGAAAAATTTTTTTTTAGACCTGTAAAGATTGCTCATTATAATTAATTAATTCTATCAATTAATAAATTTCTTTTTAATTGATAATTAAATAAATTCAATTCACCCATTATTTGTGAATTATAAACTTTGGCACTTTTGGCAAAAATTAATAATCAAAACGATTTAATCAATTTATTTCCTTGAGATTTAAAATAATAATTCATTTTTCTATTTGCTGTAATTAAAGAATGTAATTAGTTTTTTTGATGTAATATAATTATGAGTCACCCTTAGTGCAAACTTTATAATTGTTAGGAAAAAAAAAGAAATATTTCTTTACGTTTTGGAATATATTACACATGATAAAGTTTCCGCAATAAATTAGATATTTTAATTTTGAAAAATAAAATATATAAACTATAAGTTTAGGTAAAATTCCAGTATTGGGGCGGATGTTTTTCCGATGCCCAGTAGCGGCATTAAGTTTAAATCCGGCCCTGATAAAACTGAATTAATTTGTTCGCAGGCCTTCAGTACAATAGTGAACAACGCATTGCAAGTAGCCACAATAAACAGTATCGGCGATTTCATACTGTTCCTCGGGAAATGCATAGTGACGGCGGTGACCGGCATCGTGGGCCTCCTGCTGCTCAAACGAAACTCTGACCTGCATTTCTTTGCCGTTCCAACTCTTGTTATATGCATTTATTCGTTCTTCATAGCGCACTGCATTCTGTCCCTATACGAGGTAAATTATAAAATAATTGAATAGTTTAAAAAAACTAACAAAATACGCTTTTATAGAAAATAAATTTTAATAAATTTGAATTAAAAATAGTGTAAGAAAAAAATGATGTTGTTGTAAAAAAAAGCGTGGGGTGCATTTCAGGATGTTATCAAAATAACCCTTCCACTATAACTATATCTGTTCATAAAATATTTATAACTACTGATACCATGAACCCTCCCTTTTTTTTTTATAATAAAATCATTTTTTCTTACACTATTTTTAATTCAAATTTTTACAATTTATTTTCTATTTTTTAGTTGGATTTTCTATAAAAGCGTGTTTTGTTAGTTTTTTAAACTTTTATTTATTTTTAATTTTTTAGTTGAATTTCAACTTTTTCAATATATTTTTTAAATATTGAATTCATCGGTCATCGGTCCTTAATAAGTATATAAAATTTCGAGTTAATCCGACGTTTTGAAGGGGGTCAAAATCATGTTCAAAGATTCCATTACATACATACGTCTGAAGCTAATAAAAGCGTATCAATGAAATAAGCTTGTATAATAATCGGCACGAGTCTTGAGCTCTGATGTTGACATACGAAGAAGTCCATTTTTGGGTCTGTTTGGGGGAACAAAGCAAGGGGATGTGGTGGCACCAGCCATGTTGATTACGTGATTGGATCTTCCCGCGTCGCGTCACATGCCGTCAGTTATGATTGGTTGCCTGTGTTGTGCACGCGCATCACTGCAGCAAACTGCACTTTCGTCCAAATTTATTCGCCATACTTTTTTTTTATCAACCTCATTTAATTTATATTCTTCAACTTAGTATTATTATAAAATTCTAATGACGTAAAAAATTTTTAAACTTGATCTCAAAATGAAAATATTACAGTGTTAGGTAGTAAAGTTGCCCATAATACTGATAAAATAAAACATAACATCAATTAAATGAATTAATTGATTTAAATTGAAATTAAATTGATGAAGATGAAGTTCTTACCGCTAGTACTAGCCATTTTGGAGAGAGTGATGTTATGGATGGTGTGTCATTTATGATAGAATGAAGTGCTTAACAAAATAATATGTTTTTATTGTTTTTGTAATATTATGGGGCCTCCGGTTTGAGATCCGAGAGCTCACCTACCCGCTAGGATAACGCTGATATAACCTCTCAAGGCTATCAACATAGGTAGGATTTTTTATGGGGATTTATGATGTTCATGTAAAATATGGTTATAATGTTATTGCATCGCCTGATAAACAGAACGCAGTACGTGTGTCAATCAATGTTTTATGTCGTCAATTGATTGTTAATCCGAATTTCTCATAAACATATTGTACATAATATGATTTCAAGAAACTCCATCGTCACAAAACCTCCTACCTCTTTGGTATGGCGCTAAACCTTAGTTAGCTAGAATATTTTTTCGGGCACGTTTCTACAACACCCTGTATTAGATGTACATAATTGTAATTAGAAAATTAATCTATACTAATATATAAATCTAGTGTTTTTTACGGATGTTCCGTTATAACTACTGAACCATGCATCCGATTGACTTGAAACTTGGTATCCATGTAGAAAATACATGTACTTAATGGATAGGCTATTTATATGAGCGTTGAACTCCCTACACCAGTTGCGGAGGCGTTAATGATGACAATATTTGTACGGGTGAAAAATAATAATGTTAATTTTAATGCCCAGTGAAGAGGACGGGTACAGCTAGTGTATATATATATATATATATAAATTAAAAGCATCATTCAAATTGCATAACGTTTTCAGATGGTGGTCGATTCCTTGTTCCTCTGCGTGTGCGAAGATCGTAATATGAACGGCGTTGAAGGGAAATGGAAGAGTTCAAGATTAGCGGAACTCGGCGGTCACAAAATCAGTAAAGTCGACGACGAAGCCGACGGAGCTGAGCTGCAGGACCTCAACGAAAAGTATTGATTTATTAATTATGTTCTAAGCATGAAACTGCCGTGGATGTTTTGTATCTTACATCGTCTTTTCGCATTAAAAGTGTACAATTTCCAAAAATATTATCGAAATTGAGTTAAAATGGAAAATCCTTTGGTATCACCAGTATTTTTCTCATAAATACTGTCAAAAGAGCGTAGTTTAGTTTCAGTTTTTTTTTATTTACCTAAGTTTTAACTTCTACTATTAACAAAATACATAAAAATAAAAAGTAATAGTTGCAAAGATAATTAATATTAAAAATATAATTATTATCACATGTTAAACCTTTTAAAACACTACCGTAAAATTAGTAAGTTTTGAGATTATACAGTTTTAATGCGAGAAGACGACATGTCGTCGTTGTCAAACCAAAATCGGCTATGTGCACTTTTTAAGATTTTTACTTTTTGACCTTTACATATAATTCACAGCCCTATCTACCGTATAAAAAAAACTGTTATGTGTCTATAGCTTTATTATTTATGTATAGCTTTCATTTGATATAATTCTTAAAAATTCACCTTCATATAAAATTTTATACGAAAATGTTTTTACTCTATAAGTAATTCAAAATATAGTTTTTGCACATAGCAGATTTGGGTTTGACAGCGACGATGCAGCGATGTGCTAGTTAGTGGGCGTGGGATGATGTTGTTCTTAATAATTTAATGTTATAGGCAGCTATCCTGAATGTTTATTTTATGTATGCAGTTATAAACTAAAATAGTCATAGTCTTCAGTATTCGCGAGTCGTAGATAATTAAAAGTAATTTTAATTGTGCGATTTTTCCTCGTTATACATGAATGATCGTGATCACCTTATACTGCAAAGTATAGTATCTAAATGTCGGAAATCATATTATAATGATTTAAAAAAAATATTGATGATTAAACCGTAAAACTAGTTTTTGTTATAAATGGTCATACAAAGAAATATTTGAGGTGAATGATGAAATGACAAACAAAAATCATTTCTTTATTTTGATCTGGAACCGTATTTTTATAAAGAATAAGCTTGATTAAAATTTTCGAATTTTCACATGTACTGTGTGCACAGTGCATGCTACTTCCGAAGTTAAACTTCAAAAATAATAACCGGTTCATACAGTTATTCGTTTCCGTCCATTTTTTAAAGATACTTCCAATATTTTATATCATTTAAATACCCTTTGTCCATGATTATAATAAGCTGCTATTAAAAATAGTTTAATAAGGTAGTTTGTGTCTTGTTGAATTGTGTGTGAAGCTTAATAGTCTATCTGTTTATCTTGTGTCCGTTTTATGTGTAAGAATTTTAATGGGTTAGCTTCAATGATGTTATAGTAAAAAGAGGTAGATAAGTTACTTGAGTTCGTAAAGTGGCGCCGTAAAACTGAGCTAATTAGCGCACTCAAGCTTAGTCTCGTGAAAGCATTGGTACCGTTGACTGTGTTTTTTGTTCCGCGAAATTTCTCTAAAATGCCGTCCTGTGTTATGCGACACTGTAGAAACTATACAAGTAAGACTCCCAAAAGTCTAGGGATGACATGTCATGCGTAAGTATTAATTTTAAATTGATTTGCTTTTATATTGTTTAAGAAATCCAAAATATTAGCTTAAATTTATTAAAAAAGGCTCGAGTGCGACGGCATATACTCCGGTCACAGAGTGTAAGAGAGATGTCTGTCAAGATTAAAAAGAGTAATGTAACAGAAAGGACATTTCCATGATATTGCCTACACATTAGCTCACAACAACCGAGAAATGAATTAACAAATTTGATTTTATTTTTAAAGGTTTCCGGCAAATGAATTAAGGTGTAACCAATGGATAAATATTGTACGTAGACAAAGACATGAAGAGGATTGGCGGCCAAATAATAATGAACTAAACGAAAATAAAAATATAAAATTATTTGTCCATTGCTGTTTTATTTCTTAAGAGAATAGCAGGAGCTCATTTTAAATATTATTATATCAATTCTACTTACTAAACCGTAGGCGTCAAACAATTTTATGTTCATTCTGTGACATTTTAATTGTTAATCTATGAAGTAAGTCGTGACATCGCAACGACACTGCGTAATATATATCCGTCTTGTTTACGGTCTTGCTAATTAGCATGCTATCTTTTTCACACATTACAATCTTGTCAAGTTAACTCTGCTCGCGGCTATATGATATTATCATCAACTAATAGTCGATTTAATTCGTCCGCATAATATCGTATAGTTTAGTGTGTTTATAAATATATATAGGTACATACGCCGCGGACAAGCTTGACTTCGTATTAGTACTAATATAACGTATCTACCTCTTTTTACTATAACATCATTGGTTAGCTTGGTCAAAAGAGCTTAATATATTTTGAATGAATACAGTAATTTATCTATTGCGCATTATAATCGTTTATTAACATTCATATTTATTTCTAATTGAGTGGCTTAATGTGTTTACGATATTATTTGAAGCTACCTCATTGCTTGTGACCATATTTATTTATTCATAACACAACTAGCAAATTGTAATTTTGATGATCCCGAGGTATGAATACCAAAACTTTTCTTTAAACGAATTTTCAACAAAAGCTAAGCATCGATAACATAGTATCAATGTTATCTAAAGAATGTAGTTGCTGTATAAATATAGAATTCCGTTAACACGCTTTTAAAAATCAGTAACTGTTCAGGAATTGAAACAATTGAATAAAAAATCTCACATCGCACCGTATGGAAAATTTAACTGATCAGATGCTTACATGTTATTGGAATGTTTCGATGAAGACGCGATATTACTTCCATTGAGTTCTTGAACATCTATATAGTTTCTGAATTCAAAATTATTTTGTTCGTAATAAGCTAAGTAAGACCATGGTTTGAAGCCATTTCCCATCTTACCATAATCTATTGAGCTCTTGTAGTATTCTATTCAGATATTATATATTTATAAACTAATACTGTTTCCAGCCATTTTGCTAGTGAAAGAAAAGTATCATTGTTGGTTGTTTTATTGGGTGCATTGTTTGTAATTTTTTTAATAACTTTTTTGTATGTAGTATTTGAATGTGGTAGAATATATAATATTATTAATCGATAAGGCAATACCTTTACTTATTGCAGAATCAAGTCAAATTCATCTATGCCAGTTTTAACTTTTATTGACAATAACTTCATCGAGTTAATATTTTGCATAGAATACCTATTTACTCGGTTGCCTTTAATGAAACCAATCGACCATTTTGATAGTTCCAATATTTTTGTNGTAGTATTTGAATGTGGTAGAATATATAATATTATTAATCGATAAGGCAATACCTTTACTTATTGCAGAATCAAGTCAAATTCATCTATGCCAGTTTTAACTTTTATTGACAATAACTTCATCGAGTTAATATTTTGCATAGAATACCTATTTACTCGGTTGCCTTTAATGAAACCAATCGACCATTTTGATAGTTCCAATATTTTTGTAAGACAATTTGTGTTTGTCTTACTTTTGAATGTTAGATAAAATCTTTGTTTTCTCTAGTTCGAATAGTGTATAAATAAATTTAACTTTTTTTACAGGTAACAGTCTCACCTTAGAAGTATATTAAATCGCTTTCTATGAATTTGATGTTAGATTAACTTGAATCTATGTAGCACACTATTGTGTCTTTTGAAGTCGTTTATATGTCCACAATTTACTATTTTATGGTTTATATAATTTACATTTACATTTTTAACCGTTTTTTTAGTTTTTAACTATAAATTGTTTTTAAATGTTATCTACCGCTATTTTGAAAGTGTTTAATAAAGTTACAAGCACATTAAGTACAAATATTTATTGAAACAAACTTAGTTGTAACTGGTTGTCATTTTGGAACTTTTACTAAGAATACTCATAATAACTTGGAATAATTTTTATATTAATTTTCAATAAGTATTACTATTTGTATTTTATATACTGTAAGCCAATTTAATTACCTGTAGTGCTCTCGTGTGTTACTTGTTAAACATTTAGTAACGTAAATGTTTAATATTTGCCTTAAATTCTCAAAAACTAGTATGTAACGTCATGTATGAGTAGTATGTCGTGGTTCGATTGTTCCGTGACAAGGGCGAATGTAATCAAAACAATATCATGGAAATTGGTATCTTGTATTTTAGTTTATAAGTATCTCATTATATTTTTAGTTTTTAAGTATCTCATTCTTTTTTTAGTTAACTATTATTGAATGTACTAATTTGTCTCACAATTTACTGACCTTCTTGACACGAACTAGATTTAATCAATTTTAGTACATTTATTTTGATATACGTACACTATGTAATTATTTGCAAATTGCTAAAATAAAATTTGTTCTTTCTAGGCTTTACACCTACTGAGGCATTGTGAATCAATCTCTAAAATTAAATATACCTTTTGTATTTACATTTAACTATTACCTGACCATTAAGTATAAATGTTTGAATAAAAGAATCATCTCTTGTACCTGCTAACGAAGTCTTACGATAATCAAAGCTTTAATGTGTCAAAGATAAAGGTTTAAAATTTTATATTTTGCTAGAATTTTCTAACTATAGATGGGCAGACGTTCCCGAAGCTCATATGGTGTCCGTCCGCTGTCCATCAGTCAGAGCAATGGTCATCATAACTCTGAGACAAAAGTTTGAATAGCACCAGACACTGAATCAGATTGACCTGTTAAAAATGAGCCATGTAACTAACTGCTAATGGTCGCGTATTTGCCTTTCTCCAATATGAATATTATTCTCGTCTAATTAAAAGCTTTGTTTTTTGTAATTAGCATTTAAAGTAACTTGACAAGACTCTTTTTTAATTGAGAGTTGTGTGGATCGTGAACGACTATATTTTGAATTTTATTGTATTAAGGGTTGCCTTCGCAGCGCCCTCACAGAAACGTCACTTCAATTTTAACAACTTGCAGAGTAATATATTTATATAAAAAAACCAATAAAGGTGGTTTTGAAGGCTTGATTATAAAATTAGAAAACATTTTCTACGTATTGACAGTTAGTTCCTTATCGATGTAAGGTTAACTGATTAATTAATTTGTTTATGCTATATTTATTATGAAAAAAGAACATAATATTCCTAACCTAAAAGTACATGTTATTATCGGCAACATGCTTCCTCAGTTTACAGAAATAGAGTTATCAGCAACATGCTTCGTCAAAAAGTACAATACTTACTTTCAGCTACAAGCGTCGTTATTATATTTACTGATTAATTATATTTAAAATAGTTCTAACAGTTTTAAAATAAGAATTAAGTTTGATAACAAAATGATTTGATTTAAAAACAGTGTTAGATTTGAAGGATGGGATAACCGTAATACAATCTAATTGAAACTTCAACCTCAAGTATAACGCTGATGGCGGCATTCTCGTTGTATCTACGGGCCCGGTAACCATTTGTCACCAGGAGGGTTATGAGCTCGTTGGTTCTACTATGCATTTGAAAAGAAAAGGAATCAATAATAGAAATTGTTTGTGAATAATGTTGCCGAGGTTGATATAAAATAATGCCACAAATGATACATAAGTATTAAATCATAAATATCAGATTGGGCCTTGTGAGCTATTTTATTGTGTTGTAAATTTTGAAAATTGCATTAATTTAAATAGAGAGAAGATAATACTTCAAAATTAAATTATTAATACTTCAATATTGTGACATTTGAGGGTACATTTTATAATTTTTTGGAATATTTTATGACTGCCAGCTTTTGAACTATATTTAATTTAGACGTATTTTAATATAAAATATTTAGCACCTGACTGCTTTTTATGGTATTTTTCACAGAAATAACAATCACGTGTGTGAAAATGTGCTTTATTTTATAAAATAATAAAAATTTACATTTTAGAAGGTTTTTTCTTTTTAAATTGTTTTCGTTTCTTTATTTGATCTGAAATAAGTTTGCTTTTAGCTTTCAATTGTTTCCTTCTGATAACCTTATCAGGACGGTTAGATGATTTTATAGAAAATACTGGCTTCTTCACAAATCTACCCTCTGCTACAGAAGTCTCGTTTTCAATTTCCTCTGTTAAAAAAATAAGTTTTTATTAGTAGTGGTGGTAGGTTTTTTCTTTGTTGAGGCACATACAATAGAAAAAGAGAGAGTGTATGCTATAGATCTAGAAAAAGTAAATGTTGTAAAAATTGCGTTAGATGGGTGAACACACTCATGGTTCACTGGGTTTTAAACGTCTGTTGGAATCCCCTATACATTATAATGTAAATACTACCACTCTCCTTATTACACTAGGTCAAAGTCTCAAATGTCTACAATGGTTGTCACACCATTATAATTTGAATGGTGGAAGCATTGCTGCTTGTGGGGGCTTATAATATGAAGCCTATCACATGTTCTGAAATTTGTAAATTGTCTGTGGTTTTATTTTAAAAATTAATAGCTTAAACAGTTGTTTACCTTTTATAATCACTTCCTTTGCCTTTTCTATTGGATTTCCTTTGAAGAAATCTGCACCTTCTATATCAGGGTAGCCTGTTTCAGGTTTTGTTGCTTCATACAAGGCCTTCTTTTCGATCCTGTTTTCATATTTGTTACCTGCTTTTCTAGAATAAGCCTGTCTTAGTTTGGCAGGACTAATGTATTTAGGATTTTCCCATAATGTTGCACCCCCAAACGATCCTGAGAATATCTTGACCTAAAGCATATTACATTACTTGTAAAACAGTATTGTTCCCAACATGTTACTTAGTGGTAAAGTAAATCAATAGACCCAATGTTGGATCAGCCTTGGCATTACTTACATTTACTTACAGCCTAGCATATCATAGTATAGCATATATTGCGTGCGTGTTTAGATTTGAGTTCAGCCACATAGTCATACATTTAGAATTGTTTTTTTTTTAAGTGAAACTTCTTTAGAATCATTATGATTTCAAACTTGATGAAACGAAACGAAAAAATAAATGTGCCGTGATTGGCTTGCCGAAGCGGTTCTGAGCGCCACCGACAAATCACAAAGCGCTCCGCACGGTCTCGCATCCCCAACTATGTGACTTGCACACACACACACACACATTTTTTTTTCTTTAGTATTGTGAACATGCACAAATCTACAGATATTGAAAGAAAAAATGTTAACTTACAGGATTCAATACAAATCGTGGTCCTATTTCAGCTAAAGCACCATCTTCAGACAGAATCTGATAATTTCTGAACCAAATTCTGTTATCTAATACCATAAAGGTATACACATGATCGAAAAATGGTTGACTTTTTGGATGATAATTAGGTACACCAAAAATTTGTACCAGTAATTCTTTCAGTAAGCAGTAGTGAGGATCTTTTGTAAATTGTGGATCGAAAGATAACAAAGGCCTAGATCCTCTCAAACAATTGCCAGTCATTTTCAGTTCCCCCATTGTATAAACTGAAAAAAAGAAATTAGTTAAATGCTGCTTTTTAAATGTATCGTCAACTATTCACATCTGAAGACTCAAAATCCCCTACTGAAACTGAGTTTGAGTCATAGATGTAGTTCAAATTCAGTTTTTTTTTATTCTATATACATTTTACATAATATACATACTGTTTTCCACCAAAAATTTAGCACTTGGTCCATTTGGTATATTAGATATCCACATATACAAATCCCTCATCTTTCTTCCTTCAAATAAAATGCATTTGTTGCAGTTTTTCATCTCGCTAATTTCATTAACAACATACAAGTTTTTGCTTCTCTCCATTTTGGACTCTGTCTTATGATGTGGCATTAATTTCTTAATATCTTCCATTAAATGCCTGTGACGATGATTGATACCTCTCATCGCAAAGACGAGTACCCTCTGTCTGTTTATCCATTTCACCTGTACATCATTTTAATTGTAGAAAATGTGGAAACGTTTACAAAAAGTGCGGTGCAAAATTTAGTGTAACAAAACGTTCAGATGCATTACAAATATTAAATGGAATATTATTATGTCTTACGATAGTATGCGCAAATCTCATTTTACTGAGTAGATTGAAAAACATAAAATAAACAACCTACCTGTTTGGGTGCAGGATCACTAGACATTCGTACTGGAGGTAAAGGTACATTTTCATCTTTAGTTACGGGTTCAGTGATTCGTTGTTTTACTTTGGAAGGTTTTTTAACTTTTACCATTGCTTTAAATTTAATTAGTAAATGTAACTAGAATCAAAGATAATTCAAGTTTAACACCAGACTCAATCTAAGCTGAGCCCACGTGGAAACTGACACTTGACATTTGTGTTTCATTTGCTTATTACCAAAGCAAAGGGAACGAAGTCCATTGGCCAAATCCATTTTAACAAAGTTGTAGTTCGGAAGTTTATTTTCCGATTTTCTTAAACAAATAACAGATTAAACAATAAACTAAATAAACAAATAAAATAAATAAATAAATTTCTTAATAATAAATAAACCCATTAAAAAAGAGCAATAGAGAGGGCATGTTCGGAGTTTTCCTGTGTAATCGAATCAGAAATGAGGAGATTGGCAGAAGAACCAAGATATAGCCCGAAGGATAGCAAGATTGAAGTAGGAGAGGGCAGGTCAAATTGCTCGTAGAAGAGAAGGCCGCTGGGGCCGAAAAGGTCGAGTGGCAACCGCGTACTGGAAAGCGTGGGTAGAAGTCACGAGGTGGACCGATGACCTGCTAAAACTGACGTGACAATGACGTGAACTGACGTGAACGTTGAACTGACGTGACCATAGATTATACACTTAATATATTTGAGTGACAATGACATTTGGTGCGCTAAACATGGCGGATTTTCGGCCACATTAGACGGAGACGGAGACATTTACGTATATTCATGTTTCATTTTATGTACGCACTGAAATACTGTTATATTGTTTTCCTGCGAGTTAAAGTGCTGAGTAAGAACGAATAGATATATGTTTATGTGTGTGCCTTCAAAATGGGTGCTATTTATATAAGCAATTGTACGTATAGAACAATATGTCGTGTCCCTACTATATAGGTCTATGCGAACACCACACTCGCGTATGTCATGACGGGCATTGACGGGTGGTCTCGATTCTCCTGTGATACGACAGGGGGTGTTTTTTCACATAGGAATTTTGTTGGAGTTTGTTTAAAAATGTAATGGCAGGCAACACTTGACACTTGATTAGATTTCGAATATTAGAATTATTTTAAATGTTTAAAAAACAGATCATTGTATTCTCGTAAAAAAAGTCAGTACTTCTCATCTAGACACGGCAAGAGAAACATGTAATAGTTTTATAAAAAATATAAAGATAATAATTGTATAATGGTGTAAAAGTGTTCAAGCTATCTGCAATATAATTATAATGAAGCAGTTGTGTTTTTAAATAGCCCCTCATCACCTACAGAACCAAATCCCCTCAAATTTAACCGTCCAACAAATTTAAGTATTAGTGTGATTAGTATATATTAGTCTAAATAATCTAAATTCGTTTGCTTTGACAAATTAATCCTGTATTTTATTAACATTACGATTCTAGATTCTAGGGACGGTCTCCTTACAGCCCTTAAAAACAAACAATAAACATAAAGTTAAATGCTGGATTGAATTGAATGTAATGTATTATAATTGTAGATTTTTAAATTTTGCCATTGTAAGTATATTTAGACGCATTTGCAATTTGTTTGTAACAAGACATATTATTATATAATCAAGACAAATATGTATTGTAGGTTAGTTGATTAGCAACGCACACCTACTATTTCAATCATTAGATTTTATTCACAGTAACATTTATATAAAATCCAAATCGGTTACATAATAAATAGTAATACTGTCACTAGTGCCGACCTCGCGAGCTAGCGCGTCAGCNTTTAGACGCATTTGCAATTTGTTTGTAACAAGACATATTATTATATAATCAAGACAAATATGTATTGTAGGTTAGTTGATTAGCAACGCACACCTACTATTTCAATCATTAGATTTTATTCACAGTAACATTTATATAAAATCCAAATCGGTTACATAATAAATAGTAATACTGTCACTAGTGCCGACCTCGCGAGCTATCGCGTCAGCTCTCAAATAATAAGTGTATTATCTATGACGTCAGCAGCTAGATTAACATAAACATTAAACATCGCGAGCAGTGGCTCACTGTTCTAGTCAGTGAATGTGTGCGTGACTGATTTATCTCTGACCTCTAGAATGATTTTAATAGTTTCGAAACATTAATTTCGATTCTTAATAGGTACTCAGAATAAAATTGTTTTATAAGCAGATAAGGCGTGAGTGTTGCATTATCTCAGCAGTAATCCTCGAAGAAATTTGTTCCAAATGTTGAAATCAGTTGTGTTTTTGTTGAGGTGTAATAGTAATAGAATCGTTCGCGATCAAGTAAGGTATGCTTCACAAGCACTACCACAACTCTCTTCGGTGAGTTGTAATGAAAAACATTTACGAGTATAATAAAGATAACAATTTTTTGTTATAAAATATACAAACCGGTTACATAAACTGCGATTACTGGCTCTCGAATTGAAAGTTGTTAATTATTGATTGATTAGCTCCTTTATTTACCAAGAGTTTTAATTAGGCCAAGAGCTCGATTTAGCCTACAACTTAAGCTTGCTGAGTTTCTTCTCGGATCTTGTCAATATGTCGCGAGTTCTATCCGGCTGTAGATAGATGTCTTCGCGAAGCAGCTGCCTTTTAGCGCATTAAATCTATACGTACCAAGTTTTTTAATGTATAGATCAGTCATAGAGCTCACGGCTCACCTGGTGTTAAGTGATTAACGGAAACCATAGAATGCCGGCTCCCACCTTCAGATATGAAAAATAAAACTCAGCTATACAGTTGAGTGGGTGGTGGCGGTGGCAGAAATAGACAGAGTGAGATAGAGAGTGTTACCTAGCCGCGTGAGTTCACAAGACTACCTAGCACTAATGATTATTCAATTTACATTTTTTTATGGCTTAGATGGGTGGACGAGCTCACAGCCCACCTGGTGTTAAGTGGTTACTGGAGCCCATAGACATCTACGACGTAAATGCGCCACCCACCTTGAGATATAAGTTCTAAGGTCTGAAGTATAGTTACAACGGCTGCCCCACCCTTAAAACCGAAACGCATTACTGCTTCACGGCAGAAATAGGCAGGATGGTGGTACCTACCCGCACAGACTCACAAGAGGTCCTATCACCAGTTTATTACACCACAATCCTTCATCGTGGAAGCTGTCTGTGAACTCGAATCAAGTAAGTACTTATTGCATTAGACACGGTACAACATGCTTGCTGGATTTGAGCACCGGCATAATCGCATCGTTCGAAACGTGTATAGCGGACATCTTATAGCACAACGATTAATATTGTCGTGACGTCGTCTAACTGTCTTTCACCAGATTGGTAACCAATAATCACGTTAATTACCCATGTTTCAAAACTTTTTAGGAAAAATACAACGTTAAGAGGAAACAATTTGGAACGGTTCAAGAGTCTGATATAAATTACTTTAAATCGATACTCAGCGAAGAAAGAGTGTTAACTGACGAAAATGATGTTTTGCCATTTAATATCGACTGGATTAAAAATTGCCGAGGTAGTGAGCGTTATTGGAGTGTTGAAATGAACATTGATTTGCACTATGTAGGAAATTGTTAACTATAAATGGAGTGAAGTCGTCGTTGCCTAAAGTATAAGATTTGGGGGCGCTCGGGCAGCTGTTAGTAAATCCCATCCCCTCATGGCTGAGCCTTTGCTCGCGCACCTGTCCTGGTGAAACTGGAAAGACATCAGGGCAATCAGTAATCCTTTATAAAAAAAAGCTTAAGACACCCGGTAAATTCGTATCTAGCGATGCGACTGTGCCGGTGTTCGAATCTCGCATACAGGTACATTTTTTTCTAACGAAATGCGTACTCAATAAATGTTCATGAATGAATTCCACGGGGAAGGAATAACGTCATTTTATAAAAATCAAACTCGCAAAAATTAAAAATTGCGTAATTACTAGTGATAGGGCGTCATGTGAGCCCGGACGAGGAAGTATCAACCCTGCCAATTTCTGCCGTGTAGCAATAATGGGTTTCGGTTTGAAGGGTGGGGCAACCGTTGTACTGTAAAAGCTGAGATTTAGAACTCATATCTTAAGGTGGGTAGCAGCATTTACGTGGTTACTGTCTATGAGCTCCGATGACCATTTAACTCCAGGCGGGCCGCGAGCACCCATTTTAGCAATAAAACATGGAAAAAAAAGTATTCATAATGAAACACAAAAGCGAAATACTAAAACAATATTTTCCTTTTTAGGGCAGTCAAAAGTTGTCTTAAAACCCAGAAACACGGAGGAGGTTTCGAAAATTATCAAGTATTGTAATGACAAACATTTGGCGGTTTGTCCGCAAGGCGGGAACACTGGACTGGTGGGAGGCTCAGTGCCGGTCTTCGATGAAGTCGTTCTTTGTCTTGGTCTTCTGAACAAAATAATAAGTTTGGATGAAATATCTGGTACGTTATATTTAAGTAACTGATGAAACGAACGATAAAGTAACTAGGTATATAAAAGTTACAATACCAGACGAGCGCACGGTTATGGGCTTAGCCAAGCCGCGTTCTACAGCTAAGGACTCTTGTCGGCAACATTATAAGTAGGCCAAATGAGATTCTGTTTTAAACTATTTGAAAAATTTAACAGCTGTGTACTTGAAACGCATTTTAAAGTTATAAGAATAATGTGGTCTCTACGCAACGCGGTAAACATTTTGCATGGGTTAGGACTTTATTCAAATCTTCTTTGCAGGTGTTCTCATTTGTGAAGCGGGATGCATCCTTGAAAGCTTAGATACATATGTCCGTGAGCGCAATCTAATAATGCCACTGGACTTAGGGGCAAAAGGTACTTGTCAAATTGGTGGTAATGCCAGCACAAATGCAGGAGGTCTGAGACTTCTCCGATACGGAAACTTACATGGTTCTATACTAGGCATTGAAGCCGTAAGTACATAAAGTGTAATTGCGACTTTGAAGAAATACGAATATAATCTATTCGATATTCGATATTCGGTATTCGATTTATCGACTAAGTGGCGATGATTAATGTGAAGCGTTGTGGTCGATTCGTGTCATAGCGAATATTACAACCAGCCCTATGTCTGAATTAATTGCGTTATAATTCAAACTACTTTTACAGTGGTTACAAAAACTATAAAGTATTCGAATCCTCGAAAATAATATACGTTAGAGGGGTAAGGGTAGTCGTTTGGTGGGTAGGACCCTAAAAACATCC